GATATTTTCATATTGTCCACACGTGCAGGCGGCCAAGGCATCAATCTAGCAGCGGCGGATACGGTCATACTTTTTGACAGCGATTGGAACCCGCAACAGGATCTCCAGGCCATGGACCGCGCACATCGTATTGGCCAAACACGCAACGTCATTGTTTACCGCTTTGCGACACGCAACACCGTAGAGCAGAAACTTCTTGAGTCTGCTGAAGCGAAACGTCGTCTGGAAAAGCTCGTCATCCGGAAGGGTGGTGTGCGGAATGATCGAGGTGGAACAAGAAGCTCAGAGAAGGAGCAGGAACTTGAAGAACTCCAGAAGCTTTTAAGGAGAAGTGATGGAGAAAAGTACGATATCAACGAGGCGAGTCACGGTGGAACATTATTGAGCAAAGAAGAGTTGGAAATCTTGTTGGATAGGAGTGATGAGGCATATGAGCGAGCGGAGAAGGGATTGGATGTTGGTGGAGACGGCGCTGTTTTTCAGGCTGTGGGGAAAAGGGAAGAAGGTGCACTCATGGAGGGATTGCGGGCGTAATAGATTTAAGTCGATGGAAGAGTTTTTGGAAACGATTCGTGTCATTAAGCGATGCTATACTTTGTAGAATATACCTTGGTCATCAGTTAACTTAGCAGTTACATAATCCTCCACTGTACCTCGATTATCGTGACTGCCTTGTTTATTACTGAGCGCCGGCGATATTGCCACTATAACAGTCAACATTTCTAGATATTGGTTACCTGCTATTTGGCCACGTGTGTTTTGTCAAAGCTGGTAAAAGCTACTGCAAAACGCCTCATAACAACCCCAAGTGTCCTTTTTTTTCATGGTGCGATCCGTTTAACGCTGAGTATCTATAACCCAAACTAAATCGTCCAAACTAGATTGAAAAAGTACGTAGGCCATGGAGATGATGCATGTACAGCCCAGGAAAACTCTAGGACTGAATTTTTTCTTCTAGTATAGTAGATTAAGAGATGGGTTACCATTTTTAGGCAGTTCAAAATAGGAGCGATAGGGCCACGCTGTACCCGAGGGTAGAAAAGTTCAGAGGTCTTCTCTACAAACGTCTCTGAAGCTGTGGTCAAGCATAATCTAGTAGTTACCAGCATATGAACTATGTTTGCTCTCACAATTAATCTGAGCAAATTGTCTCGAGAATAGGTATGAACATTACAGTATATTCGATGAACAATGTCGAGACGACTTAATTGCATAATATACCGCTGTTGTGTAGTATGAGGGAGCCTACGTATGCTACTTTCCCCTGACATCTACATATCAGCCAGTGATTAACAAGATTCAAAGCACTATTTGGTTACTCGAACACACCACTATAGTGAGAACGCGATTATGAGCAGTGGGAACCCAGGCACTCCACCCCAAATTGATCTCCGAAGTAGGTGAAAACGACATCTGACACGTTGTACATGAGTTCCGAACACCTGAGAGTCATCCGTCTAGAATTCTCGGATCTTCTTCTAGGCAATATCACAGTATGTAGTACATAAGACAACCTGAGCCCTACCCCATGAAAACACATCTTTGGGTTGGAATTTGGAGATTTGGCCTCCATGACTTTACTTGTATGTAGAAAAATAGAGCTTCTTTTGGCTGACGATGCCCACCTGTTGTACCACAGAAGGATCTATCGGCAATGCTATCACGACAAGGCTAAACATACCAACATCAATAGACAACGTAGTGTTGGCATAATTCACTGTGAATTACAATACCTTCTTAATTGTTAATTCGCAAGAATGAACATGTCACATCAACATAGGTGAGACTACTATGCCACAAGGAACTATGTGCAAGATGAAGGTAAAAATGGAATTTCGAATTATTTTTGTATTACCTGACAGTTATGAAGACCCAGACATTCGGATCGAAAATCTCCTTTATACAAGTTTATACTGCCACCTTGATCATTACATGCGTGGCCACAAGCTTCCGCTTAGGTAGTAATTCAGTACGTCTAGTAGCTTTGCGGTAGCTGCCTAGCTACGTTGCTCGAGTTTTAGCCAATTTCACTAAGATTTTCGGGCAGCGTTATCAATGTGAAGGTGACGCTCATTATGAGAAGCCCCCAGCCCGCGGCAACGAGACTTTGGTCCACCATGACTCATGATGTGTACTATGCTCTATACCAATGAGCTCTCTCGCCACCACACTGTTGCTTTATCAAGATTTAAGCGCTTCCCAAGGCTGCAAAAGAAAGAAGGGAAGCCATGGGCGTTACAATGTCCCGTGTTGCCCGTTGAATCAAAGGAGAGCTTATCAAATTCGGCAGTCACACCAGAAACAAATTCGCTCTAAAGGAGGGAGTTCTCCACAGTTCACGAGAAAAACAAAGGAGCACTTAAGGAAAAATCCCATTGGTAGGTGTTGAGATTGACAAGACCGTCGGCCACATCAGCAAGCGTGAAGCACTAAAATGTGTATGAGCCAATGCCTGACGAGCGATGACAAACATCTGATCGGGGATGGTAACAATACCATCCTGACCAACGCCACTCTTACAAAGCCGAAGCTGCTTGAAATGATTACCAGCCCACTGGCCAAGATTGGAGTTGGCAAAAGAGCAGGGAAAATTCAGACGGAAGCATGGCCTCACCATTACCTCTGATATGCACAGCAAGAGGAACTCAATCACACACCAACTAGTAAGGTTGAGTTAGCTGACTGTGATGGACGAAAGTTATCAAAATTGGCCCCCAACATGTTTCGTATCTATTAGATTCGACACGATCCAAATTCAGCTGAGCTTTGCAAACATTACCGATCAAGGATAAGGTTTGGTCTAATCACAGAACAAAATCATACAGCCACATCACTCAATCATGTGTAGCCAGCACATGGTCTGCGCATAGCTATTAGAGAATGTAACGTAATAGCTTGTGCGCAGCCGGTGCAGAGCATATTGTTCAAGAAACGCCATGCAACTAAATCTTGATCAAGTCTCCATCTGCTTGCCCTTTTTCAGATTTGGCACATTATCGGTACGGCATTAGCCCGTCATGATGTCAATGTCAGCACAACTCCTGGAAGCCGAGCCGTGTCCTACGGAGTGTATACGAATGCACGCACAGAGAGCCATGGATGAGGACAATCTTGTCTTCAATCGGTAGTCAGCACTTTTCCCCTTTTCCGCAAATCGAGATGTCTTTACCAAGCGCGGGATTAGTCTTGGCCGATTCTGACCGGTGCAACTGCTCCTCGGCGCCTTCTCAAGCCACATTCACCATGCAATCCTACCTCTCCCCCAGCCATTGCCAATGGTCTGAATGCCACCTACGCAATCCGGTTTCCAAAGCAGAAAAAAAATCGACCCGCTGTCTCATGACCGACGCACCCCAGAAACGGTAAGCAAAATTCTCAAATCGAGATGCGATCAGCACAACAAAACTGAGACGGCTTGTCAGCGCGGGAACTTCCCAAACCCTCTAAACCATTCATAGCCAACACCAAATGGTGCATGGTATACAACCTATCCTGACAAATAGCGCCACCGCCATTGGCAGCAGACCCTTGCGTTTTCCGCGACCAAACCTCAGATGTAGTACAAAATAGGACAAAAGGGGTCGTAATGCAGATCCCTTCGGGAGCGCGCGTACATGCGTCTGATCCATATTAGGAAGCAACCAGAAACGGACCGACGACCACAATTGGACCAAACCAGATCTCGTAGCACCTCCGTTCTCTTGGTCGCCGGACTCTTCGGCTTAAACCCAATCGCAAATGCTAGACGCTAGACTGCGAACCATGCGTGAGGCTAACCCAACAGGAGAATTTACACCCAAGATTTTACTTGAAGGATTCTGGGTCGGTGTTTGGAATTATATAATAGGTCCTGAGCTGAATTAATAGAAAATATTGCAAAGTGTTCATAACTAGTAGTTTGAAAACTTAAAAGCTGAAGTTTTTTTCGGGGGGGAATGATGAACAAGATGTAGCACGTCACGACGATGTACGTGGTATGCAAAGCTAGGTTATTTCGATCTCCCTAACAACCACCCATACGGAGCACTAGCATACTTGCACTCTACTTACCCCAGATGCCAGCGCATGACCCGCTAGAAGAAGAAAAGCGGCACAAACGACTGGGGGTGGAGTGGCGGTTGGCGGGGGTGGGTATCAGATACTGACTACATACGACATAATACACAACGTACATGGGGCGGGACCCAAACATGTAGATACCTTCCCTTCCACTCCCCAAGTACACAAATCCCACATCCAATAACATGGCGCAGAAATAGTGAAGAGCCACTTGCACACTCCATCGCCACCGGTCCTAACACGAAAGCAAAGATTACTCACGCACCACACGCGTCCCGAGCCCATCGACCAAGCTAGCACTAAAGCACCATACTTCCGCCAAACTAGCTAACACTCTACGTAACTTCCCTCTAGCCCCCTCCAGACGCAATCTACAAACACACACCAGTCTATATCCAAGCCCCCCTCATCTACCCCAAACCGTGACTTTCACCCTAGCCACCGTAAACATCCAGAGCCACCCAACCTATCCCCATACCTCTCTAGCACCCACGCAACCAAAACATTCACTCTAGTCCGTTCACGTCCCAAGGACCCCATCGGCGCCACTACATGACCCTGCCGCCGCCGGAGTCTATCCACTATCCACTATCCTTCAAACTTGCAAGGCGTTAAAAAAAATCTATTTGGGGGAGAAGATGAACGGCGGGGGCGCGGTTACCAACGCCGGGGGTTAGAATATCAAAAGTGATTATTATCGAGCGGGAAAAAAAGCGTCTAAACTAGATAGTTAGCGCGGGAAATTGCTACTGGGGTTTTTTCTTTGAAACCGAGGTGTACAAAGAGGAAAGATCAGAGGCGAAAGTATCCAGGCAGGCGGGAGAGGAGAGGTATATAGAGGGGTGAGTGATGGAAGCATGGTGGTGCTGACTCTAATACTTCTTATTTTAATTTCTTGATTTGTTCGATATCTTCATGTATAAGGCATTTATATTTCCACCATGTATTTTCTAAATGTGAAAATCGCACTCATCGCTGCGGCGACTGCGTCGTTAACAGCGGCATGGCCAACCGCTATACTAGATGCTGCGGGCCACGATCCCGAAGTGCTGAAGCGCGCAGAGCAAGAGGTCGCAAAGGCGATGCAAGCAAGACAAGGAAGTGCAAGCGCCGCTACATCTGTGTTCGAGCCTATCCCCATCTTCGACGCAAAAGCACAGTACATCGACGTCAGCGCGGGGAGCGGCCATGAATACGTGCCTCCGGGCCCAGGCGACCTTCGGGGTCCCTGTCCCGGGCTGAATGCTCTGGCAAACCACGTACGTCTATCCCCCCCTTCCCTAAAAAAAAAACAAGAGCATTGCAACATACTTTTCAGACGAGCAAAAAAACAACTCAATAACTTTTTTCTGTACAGAACTTCCTACCGCATAATGGCTACGCCACCGTAACGCAATACGTCGAAGCGACCACAAAAGTCGTTGGCATGGGTCCGACACTCGCGCTCCTCCTCTCTGCCGTCGGCGGCTCCCTCAGCGGCGATATCCTCAACTGGTCCATGGGCGGCAAGCCTTCGCTTGCACAAGCTGGACTCACTGGTATCCTGGGCAACGGACTCACGGGCTCGCACAACAAGTACGAGACGGACGGGTCGCCCACGCGGGGGGATCTGTATCAAACCGGGAACAATTTCAAGACGGTGCCCGCGCAGTTCCAGCAGCTGGTTGATGCGTCGCCTGGCGGCTTCGTCACGCTCGAGAGCCTGACTGCATTTCGCAGCGCGAGAGTGGATGCGCAGCGGAAATCTAATCCGTATTATTTCAGTGGCCCGTTTGCGGGCGTGCTGGTGCAGCCGGCGGCGTACACGTTTATTTTTCGCTTCATGGCAAATCACTCCGCAGAGAACCCAGAGGGGATTCTGCCGTATGATGTGCTGCAGTCGTGGTTTGGCATTCAGGGGTCGAGCGGCAAGTATACTGCTGTGCAGGGCGGGGAGCGCATTCCGAATAATTGGGTGAGTTTTGTTCGTTTGTGTGGTTGGAGAGTGTATGTGCTAATGGGGTGTTTCCTTTGCTAGTACCGTCGTCCAATAGCGTATCCATACGACACGCCCTACTTTCTTGCGGATACGTTGAATGCGGCTGCTTTGTACCCCAAGTTTCTTGAGGTCGGCGGGTACGTTGGTCCCTTGCTCCTTCTCTTCCAACATTTACACTAACTCGTTCTAGAAATACCGGCCAACCCGACTCTTTCGTTGGTGTCGACGTATCAAGCCTGACCGGCGGTATTTTCAGCTCTGCCAATCTCCTCAAGGGAAACAACCTGGCTTGCTTCGTCTATCAGATTTCCGCGCTGGCAAAGCCTGATATTCTTCTTGGCGTACTCACTACACTTCTCGACATTGTAAACAATGCGGTTGCTGCTCTGAGCTGTCCACAGTTGAAGAATTTTGACCAGAGCGTGCTTAAACAGTTCCCTGGCTACAGCAGGCAGAGTGTGTATGGATAGACTGAAATGTCTTGAACTTGTAATGATTCACGACATGATTGTCGAGCGGGAAGATTGGAAATCTCACACATTTAAAGAAATAGAAATGCACTCAAAAATAACAAAGCAACTCTAAAATCAAATCATTCAAACTGATACTTCTTACCACATAATCGTTATACTACACAAGACTCGTACGATATGCATGCATAGGCACTGATTCAAACAAATATGTAACGAGACCGTCTCAGACCCGACTCTCATAAGTGAGTCAGGCACAAATGAAGACAGATGTCGATATTCCTCTTCCAACGTTCCGTTAAGAGTGCACCGTATCAAGTCACGGGACTCCTGCAGGCTCAAGGCCTGCATCGTTGGTGTGTAGTGCATCACGATTTCAGTCAATGACTGCTTTGAGACTCAGGGCTGAGACAAGAAGATCAGGGTTAACAAGGCAAAAGGGTTGAACATGGAATGCTGCCATGGTGCAAGTATCGTCAGTACCGAGCCTTCGACATGTGCAACTTACTGCGGCGAGTTCATGACCTCGTATAAACATCCTGTTTCATTCGTGGGTTACACCCACACAGATAGGCTCGTTGGTGCTGCCACCACCTATCGTTGTCTCCTTTTTTTCACAACGCCATATTCGTACTTTCTACAAAGTAGTAGTAAAGTGGTACCCATACGCCTTGCTAACAGCAAACCAAAGCTCGAACTCTCCCACGTTCTCTCATCATCATGGTAGTTCGTCTAGTCATAGTGCATAAAGAGCTGGCTCATACTCTCTCCGTGGTGGTTTCGCCTAATTGCTTCCGCTAGCAGGTTATCAACTTTGATAATGTCTAGCTTGTCTTGACTAGCCTGAGCGAGCTTGTGTTCGGGAATCGGGAACGCATTAGTGATGACAATCTTGTCAATGACATCACAGTGGCTCATCTCTTGAAGACAGTCACCGCCAAAGATGCCATGCGTGGCAAAGCAGTACACCTTGGTTGCGCCACCGCGCTTGACAACAGTCTCAGCGGCCGCAATCCACGATGCAGACTTGTCCATCATGTCGTCGACAATGAAGACGGGACGATCTTTGACGTTGCCGACAAGAGTCACCATGGTCTCGAGTTCGGGATTCTTGAGGTCTTCTTCTTCGTCTTCAGACGAGGCAGCAGCGTCATAGGTTCCGCCTAGAGCGTGTGAATGCTCGGTCTCTCTGTTACGACTAGACGAGGCATTCGAGACGAACGAGGACATCATGTGATTGGGTATGTCGTCATCGCCTTCCGAAGGGGGACGATTGCGCCAGGTGCTATGCGAGGTTGCGGACATGGATGGCGAAGGATGAGTGTCATCAACAATATGGCCTTGGACGAGACGTCCATGGATGACATTTCGTGCGCGCTGTGATGGTTAGAAAGATGGCACAAGTCTTTGGCATGGACAAACCTCATCAGTGTACTCCTCCTCCTCATCGGCACCACTCTCGTCTACATCCTGCTCCTCGGACGCTTCCTGTTCTTGGTTCTCTGCATCAGTTCGAATGGGCTCTAGTGGGACTTCAGGTTCGATAATAGAGCCCGCACGCATCGACTTGGACAGTGGATGGCTTCCTGCAGACTCTGAGCCCGCATGAGCTCGCCGTACAAGTGGGTTTGTGGGGGTGCGTCTGAGGCTCGATTTGCCCGGTTCCGCTTTTGGATCGATTGTGATGTTGCTAATCGGTGTGACATCGGCGTCTGTATCCAGCGCAGTTCGCACCAAACCTGGCGTCTCGTACGCACCATCCAATCGAAGTTGCTCAAACATGGCGCTTTCGTTCCAGTGCACCGCGGTGCCCGCCCTACGCCTGTCGGTTGTCACAATGCCGAAACTGAGTTTCAACGCGTCAGCTAGCGATGTGACACGCTTTGTGCCACCCGGGTTCTTGCTGACAACCACAGCCTCCCTCCAATTGGGCACGTTGACGCGAATCCAGCGCGCGATGAGGGGTTCGGCGACGAGGTTGTCAACGGGGCACTTGAAGAAGCCCTGCATCTGCGAAGCGTGCAGGTCAATTGTCATGACATGGCTGACGCCGGCAATGTGCAAAAGGTTTGCGACCATGCGCGCAGTGATGGCACCGCGGTGCTGCTTCTTCTTGGACTGACGCGAGTAGGGAAAGTAGGGCATGACGGCTACAGCTGTTAGTAGCTAGCATTGAGCTCGTCGAGGCGCGCGGTACCTGTGACCGACTTGGCAGAGCCGCCTTTGCAGGCCGAGATCATAATCAGCAGCTCCATCACCGAGTCGTTGATTCTGACCCATTAGCCAATTGGCGCACGACGGGGCTGGGCTACGCACTTCTCGCTCCCACTCTGGACGATGAAGACATCTTTGTTCCGGATCGAAGTATCTGCAGGACTTAGCGCGTGTGTATAGGACGAGAGGGCGAGGGCGAGGGCGAGGTGAGCGTACGAATGGTGACGGAAGTTTCTCCATTTTTGAATTTACCCAGGGTTGCGGAGCCAGGCTTCATGCCCAGGCGGTCGCAAATGCCCTCGACAAGCCTGGGGTGCGAGGTGCCGCCAAAGACGATAGCGCCCCTCATGGTGGGCGGTCCTAGGAGAGTGACGTTCTCGTAGTGGGCAAATTGTGGTGAAGGCCGATGAGGCCTGGCAAAATTGCTCGACATTCTACTAGCTGAGCTATCGGCACGTCGGGGGTTGGTCTTGCCCCACTATCCGCTCGATAGGGCAACGACTAGTCGGCAGCCAGTGACTGCCCGCACCTGACTCGCAAACACCAAGAGCGACGTGCACACACACCAAGAAGCGACGCAATAGGAATTTGGGTGGCAAGTACAGCTCCAAGGGGCAATCTTGACCTGCAAGGAATTGTCAGAATGCACACGGTGAGCTGGCGGGGCTGCTGCTCCTTCTTTATGCACATGGCTGCACTACCCAAACGTCTTACAAGCAGCTGCTGAGCTGGCACGCGATCACAGAGTCGCTTCGTCTGGCCAGTCAGGGTCCTTAAGTAGACCACGATGCGCCTCTGTACCTGCGGAGCCTCTCGAGTCCCCGCCTTTCACATTGCCATGCAGCCCGTCTGGTCTGCCTTCTTATATCCATTGCTCGAACTCGGCAATCGCAGCCACGCGAAGACTTGTTCGGTTACACAAGCTCACCGCTTGCTTCTGTACTCCCTCAACGGACTCGATGGTAAAGGTTGCCCAAGCTACATACATGGCGGTCCACAGCGAAAGCCACGCTATTGGTGGCTCTGATGTGATGGAGTCATATCAGTCGAGCTTCATGGCCGGTTGCAGTATCAACGCACCACGGACACGGGATTTGACTTTGTTCTGTCATACTAGCTGACCTGTTTGAGGTCAGGTGGCCCAAAGCAGCCAGTGGCCTGGACGAACATTGGCATTTGTCTTGGAAGAAGGAAGCACAAATACATGTTGGCGTGGGTCCGTCAATGTGCTCTGTACATCAGTCGAGGTCCTGTAGGCGTCGACAACGACTCGGCGGTGAAGTGGTGGTGGCATGGCAGGCAGGCAGCTTGACAGCCAAACCGGCAATACGATCAGCTCCATGCCAAAAGAATTGTCGAGCTACTTGAGTGGTGTGCAGTGATGTGGGGGGATAGGCTCCCCGGTGCAACCATGGAGTGTGCTCAAAAGAGAAGCAATGGTGCTCCACAGGGTAGGCGGATTGATGATGGACATGGTCGGCCTCTGTCTTGCGGGCTGAACGGTGTGATGGTGTTGACGAGGCTGTGCCAAAACAGCCCGATTGGCTGCCGGGGCTGCAAAAGGAGCGGACACTAGTAGAGGCCATCTGGTCCCGAACACCAGGTCTGGCGGCGCGATCTGGCTGTGCGTGGAGCTATGGTGAAGTGACAGAAAACGGCGTGCACGACAGCAACGCTTGGGGCTACGAGGGGCCGGCAAAAGTTCGGCTTGCCAGGGAAGGCAGTTTTCCAAGAGCCTGGTCCGGGGTCGGCGGGCAGGTTGAGAGCGGATGGGACGTAGTACGCGGTGATGTTTGCGCGCGACTGCTTTGCGACTGTCGAGCGATGGAGACGAGCGATGGGGCTAGCCCAAAAGACAAGTGGCCATCATCGGGTTGCACGATCTGGCATCATGGCACCGGGCGTCAGGTCAGCCCGATACAGACGGTGCAGGGCACGAAGGTGAGGGCAAGATCAAGATGGACGACCATGGTGGGGGGGGACGTGTTGGCCAACAGTGCCATGGTGGAGCAGTGCAGGGCCAGCTGCAGGGGGCCGATGAGTCGGAGGGCGTCCGGGGCTGGCTGGGTGGATGGGTGGATGGGTGGAAGTGTCGGTGGGTTGCTTTTGGCGGGCGTCATTAGTCCGGGCGTGGATGGAGAGTTTGTTGTGGACAGCACTGAGCAGGCAAGGTGTTTACGGGCCTGGTCTGTGGTGGAGAGGAAACGGGCCGGGGGAGAGGGACGCCCATGCATAGCGACGGTTTCGGCAATCGTGTCTGGGCCGCCCGGCAGCCCATGCGGCTCCTAAGCAGCGCATGTGGCCAGCCGGGATGGGATGGGATGGAAGGGCCAGTGTGAGTGGGCGCACGCCAGCAGCCAGCGAAAAAGGAAACGCACCCAGGAGCCAATGCCGCGCCCAGCCTAGCACGCACTGCAACTGGCACTCGGTCGCGCACGCCGTGGCTGCGTACTTACTGAGCCTGTCCAAACGTCTGCTTGTGGACGAGGGCGCATATGCCATCATCACAACGCGGGCGCCGAGCACGGTTGGCCGTGACACACTGGCTGCACCAGCGCTGCCTCTCGATCCCTCGCCGAACTATGCCATTGCGCCCTGCCCTGGCCTGCTCTGTCCTGGCCTGGCCTGCCCTGCCCTGCCATGCACTCTCGGGCCTGCTGCGGCCTCTACACGGCATGCTCGCCGCGGATGCGGCTGCGGGACTGGCAGCCTGTCGTGGTGGACAGAGCCATCCCGGACCATCAGAGCACGAGCGAGGCGACCAGGGCACACACACAGAGACAGAGAGCGAGAGCGAGGTGAGTAGGTAGAGCGGCTGGCCCACTCCCTCGTGGCACCATCAGGACCATCTTTGGCTTCATCGGTCCGGCACCCATCCGCCTTTGGATCTCGACACTCGACAAAGGCACCACGGCCAGACGGCTGCACGGCTGCGCGCTGCTGCTTGTTGTTGTACACACCCACTTGCACTCGGCCTGAGTGGCCGTCGAATGGCTTGCACTGTAGCCAAAGTTTATTCTCCGCTTCTCCCCCCAAGCCTTTGACTGAAGGCTCAAAGTATAAGACGGCCCAAGATCCGCGTCGTTAGCGTCTGCAGTCTGGCAACAAGCAAGCCCTGGAGTCGTTCCTTCTCCAGCAACCATCCAAACACTGCAACTGCCTCTTTTGCTTCTCCTGCCTCTTCCGTCTCCGCTCGCTCCTTCCTTGTCCTCGTCCTCCCCCTCGTCCTCCTCCACCTCCCCCTCCCCCTCCCCCTCCACATCCTTCTCCTCCACATTGACGTTTGTTTTGTCAGCCACGATCAAGCCGGTCCTAAACACCCTCGCTCTCAACCTTCCCCCTACCCTCCCCTACCTTGACTTCGTTTCCTCCTCGGCCCCTGCAGTGTCGCCGCCACTATTCACGTCAGTACTCACTCAACCTCAATTGCTATATCTACTCTTGCCATCCCCCACCCCCATCTCACCCACCACCTCCTTTACTCACACACACACTCACTCACTCCATCTTTCTCTCTCTCTCTCTCAACTCCCACTCACACACATCCACAGTCGTTCCCGCCCAATTGCCATCGTTTGTCCACCCGTCTTCCCCTCCATCTTTGCAATGGCCCGTCCAAGCTGCTCCCACAGCTTCAAATTGATCAAGTCCGACACCACTCTCGTCGTTTGGACCTGCAACTTGTGCCACAGCGGGCCCTTCACGTCCATCTACCAATGCGATCAGTGCAAGCTCAAGACGTGCCAGCCCTGTGCCTCCAAAGCATGAGCGAGTAAGTCCCTCATACCTCCCACACCCCCCAGTCGCCCCTCCATGCACCACAAATGGCATCTTGCATCACCACACATGCGAGCTGTGCCAAGTGTCGGTCAAAAAAATCCACTCTGGCTGACGCTGACTCGCTGCCGTGTAGATGGAATGCATGGATCGCCAACTACGATCCAGCCCACCCGAGATCCCGGTAACCAGATATGTACCTAGACGCACGCGACACGGCCCAATACCCTTCGCTCTCCGCTTGGCAACATGCCCACTCCCATTCCCGAACCATCATATCACCTGGATTTCCTATCACGCCTTGCTTGTCCCCCGTCTCCATCACGTGGCCTTCTTCTTCTCCATCTCTTAGCATGGCGTTTTGGGCGGCCCCCTCCGATCCAATCATTTGATGCCAAAAAAAGCAATCACCTTACGACAATGGCACGTTTTTTTCCCGCTCGGAACAGGCTTCCGCGCTTGCTTTACAAAAAGGAAGGGGGGTACCCGCTTCTGGCCGTTTCAGATGGGACCAGGCTCCTGTCTGGCAAATGCCGCTTTCCCCTGTTCTACCATTCCTACATGGTCTCTTTCTTCAATCACATTACGGTCGCCGAGCCCACGTGGTCCCCAGTTTTTTTCTCTCTTGTGTTTTGACCCTACAACGACTGGTGCAAACCATTACGCCTTAATGCTTTTCAATTTCCTTTCAGCTCATCATCTGGTACAACTACATGGGGGGTTTTTTGTTTTTGATTACTATACACAATTGTCGACTTGAGCTATCTGTACATTTAGACGCCCTTGGGTGGAGATTCTGTTTCACATACCCACGAGGGCGCACGTCTTGGCAGCTGTAATAGACAATAATCCAACACACTGATTTCATCTCAACGACTCGCCTCCCGGTTGATTTCTGTAGCCGCTGCATGGCTAAGGATGGTGACTTACCTCGTGCAAGAACTAGCTCGCTCAGGTTTCAGGACTAGGGTGTGCACGCAGGTACATGGCTTGCACGAGCTGAGACGCGCATCCTCGATGCTCGAGGCGAGGCGAGGCATTTGAGCTTCGATATTCCTTCTTCAAAGGGTTCTGTGCATAACTTGGTTCCCAAGGCAGATCTGCAAGGCCGAATGAGGCACAAATCGCGAGCCGCTCTCGCGTGTCTCAGCTAAACTGCTGCACCTGCACCGCAGCGGACCGTGACGAACACCTATTTAGTCGCTGCTGGCGTGTCTTTGAATGCAGTTTGGACAAAGTCACGACTACTACTATGTTATGCCGGTCCTGCGATTTCCCAAAGCACAATCCATCCGACATGATTAGAGCACACACACACACACACAAGCATCTTTATCTCCATGCTTGCACCGAGAGACTAGTACGAGAATCAGGTTTACCTTGCGTATGCGTGTAACATGTACGCAACAGGTAACCGTTTCCAGCTTCAACAATAAAGAAGCCTCCGCCAAAAGCGCGATCCTAAGGCGGATAACCGGCAGATAAGTAAGGTTATTGGTCAGAGCTGTGGCTGTCCAAGGTTAGTAGCATACACAACAAACCGATGGCTACTACCCCTCTCGCCTACGGCCCTTCACCCACCCGCTTTTCAGCCCAGTCTCGGCCCGCTATATACAACTTGTGTGCATCCGTACTACGGCAACATCAGCCGGCAGGAAAAACCTTTCCGCATTCCACATTTCATACAACTGTAGTCACTACCATTGCGTCACGTATTTTCAAACGGCGCCTCTTTCGGAATTTCTTTCTTATTCGCTCATGTTTTCTGGTCGTCCATCATCCTTTGCAGGGCTGTTGCCTTGCGCTATAAGCGCTAAACCTCCAGCTGCCATCGTATGCAAGCATAGCTCCACAGCAGGTACTGTTTCAATAGGCTTCCACCAAATCTCTGTTCTCCGGACACAACACCGTGCACCGTTCGCCTGCATTGGTGCCACTTAGACAGTGTGATCCAGCCGGACAAAGCAGTCAGCAGCCACGTATGACACTTTTGGCCCCCATCTTCGTCCCACATATATATATGCTGTCCCTCAAATCAGCCTTACAGCCTTTTCATCCCATTCTCTAGTTGTTTCGTTTCTATTTGCAATTGAGCCAGCTATTATACAGAGCAAAGGGCAAACATGGGCTCGGATAGCGGCGATGACACGCAAACCGGCGTACCTCAGGCAGCAATTGACGAGTTCTGGGATAGCCTCATCACTAAGAAACCAGCCAAAGTCACCAAGATATTCCCGCAAAGTCTGTATGCCAATCTTCTCCCTCCCCATAATCCAATTGGAAAAGTCACGGGCAAAAATGCAGCTGAATCGTACCGGGCCGCTGCAGCAGAGTGCTCTGCTCGCGTCAAACGCATCGTGAAAGAATGTATCCGAACGAATGAGAAATTCACGGACCCGGACTTCGATATCAGTAATCTATCTGATGGAAATTGCCTCGAAGGACTCATGCACTGGTATAATGAAAACAATGAAAAGTCACCTGCAGTCAGCGCATCGCAGCTAGGCAGAGCCCTCTCCACCCTTGTTGAAAGTGGCGTCTTCATGGGGGACGGTGCACCATTCGACTTCAACACTACTGCCAAGATATTGACTCAGAAATCGAACCGGAGCTCAGACGGGCCAAAATCGGTGCATCGTATTGATTGGATCTTTGACAAGCCAGAATTTGTCATTGATGGCTTCTCCAGCTCCGATCTCAAACAGGGCTCGAGCGGCGACTGCTGGTTCATTGCTGCTGCCTCGACAATCTGCGCAAACCCTTCGTTGATGAACAAAGTCTGTGTTGCGAGAGACGAAGAGTGTGGTGTCTATGGCTTTGTTTTTTATAGAGACGGCGAGTGGGTCTGGACCGTAGTTGATGACAACCTCTACCTCAACATCGCTGACTTTGACGCCCAATGGGGTGATCGATACGATCCGACCAATGCGCGAGAGATCAAGTACAAAAAGAACTATCAGACTGGATCCGAAGCACTCTATTTTGCCTCTTGCGCTGACGAGAACGAAACCTGGCTCCCGCTTTTGGAGAAAGCGTACGCTAAAAGTAAGAACCTCCCTACACGATTGGACTCTACGCACTGTTGCACATATCCGCTGCACAGCTGACAGAATAACAGTACATGGTGATTATGGTGCCATTGCTGGTGGATGGAGCGGTGAAGCCGTCGAAGACTTGACTGGCGGTGTCACGACCAAGATCCTGACGAATCGTGTATTAAGAAAAGAGAAGCTTTGGGAAGAACTACTCAAAGTTGGCAAGGATTTCTTGTTTTCAGCTTCATCACCAAGCTCATATGGCGACGACTCGGATGCGCTAAAGGGTCTTGCCCTCAGCCATGCTTATTCCGTCTTGAAGGCTGTAGACGAAAAAGACGAAAACGGCAAAAAGTACCGATTAGTATTGATACGCAACCCGTGGGGTAGTAGGCAGAATGCAAGTATAGGCGAATGGACGGGACCGTGGAGCGACGGCTCGAGAGAGTGGACACCGTACTGGCTCGAGAAGCTAGGCCACAAGTTTGGAGATGACGGACTCTTCTGGATGTCCTACGACGATTTGCTCAAGCGATTTGATTTGCTTGATCGCACTCGCCTGTTCAACGAAGAATGGACCGTCGTGCAGCGGTGGACCAGTGTTTCGGTGGCATGGGTCACTGGCTATCTAAACATGAAATTCTCGGTTGAAATTAAGAAAGCTGGCCCGACTGTTTTCGTACTCTGCCAGGTAAGTACCACCTCTTATCCCGCTCCTCGGGTACTAATGATAGTAGTTGGACGAGCGCTATTTCAGGGGGTTAGAGGGCAAATACAGCTTTGACCTGCATTTCATCTTGCAAGAGAAGAATGCTGCAGTTGGCGACCACCTAGTCCGCGCCCGCGGTCCTTGGTTTGGGAACCGCAGCATATCTGCCGAAGTCGACCTCGAACCCGGTGTGTACGAAGTTGTGCCCAAGATTGTTGCCACGCGAGACCCGGAAGAACCCGAAGTCTTGGATGTCGTGAAGAAGCTGGCCGAACGCAACCCGCAGAAGCTCCGACAAATTGGACTAAACTACGACATTGCAAATGCAAAGGGTGTGTTCGAGCTTCCTGAAGAGGATAAGAAGAAGAAAGAGCAGGAGAAGAAGGAGGCAGCAGAAAAGAAGGCAAAAGAAAAAGAGGCCGAAAAGAAGGAAAAGGAAGAATTCGAAGCCTGGAAGAAGGAGCAGAAAGCGGACTATGAGGCTTGGAAGAAGAGGAAGGAGCAGAAGGCCAAGAAGGAAACAAAGGAGCAAGCCTCCGAATCCAAAGAAGATGTCAAAGATAGCAAGACTCAGACGGAACAAGGTGATGTCCCGAAAGATCCCGTTGCCGATACAGAGGACAAAAAGGACGGCACACCTCCTTCCGCTTCTGAAGGAAACAACACCGATGAGACCGCAGGCCTGCCACCCAAAACCACAGACTCGGAACCGAAATCTCCCACTGCCGCCCCCGAAAGCACCACCACCGAAGACGCTAACGAACCCACACCTCCATCCGACACCCCCAGCAACTCCACCTCGTCAGACCCAACACCCCACCCTGACGCCTCCACATCAGCATCTGCGTCACAACCTCCCCCAGCACCAGCAGACGTAGCAGCACCAGAGCAGCACCTCCCGCCACCATCACCAGCGCCACATACCTCATCCTCGCGCCCCGCAGTCGACGACGACGACGCCCCATTCCAAGGCAACGCCCCAATCTACGGCAACAACGTTCCAGTCTACGGCGACACCCCCGTGCCCCCTCCCCCTCCCCGCGAGCTCCCCAAACCCGACAACGAACTCAAACCCTGGAACGCAGTCTGCGTTCTCGGTCTCAGAGTCTACACTCTAGACGCCGAGGTAAGTATCAAGCTTGTCAAGCCGCAGAGCGTCGAGGAGGCGTCGATCCTAGATGTGGATGGCGGCACGCAGGCTGGAGCTACAATGTGAGAGTGGGGCGTGGGTAGTAGCAGGCAAACAGCAAGAGCAAAAGGGTTAGATTCTCAAACTAGCCGATCTAATGTAGCCACTGTGAGATCTGAGTGCGAGGGCCATTTGAACCGGTGGGACGGTAAAGGGCAAAAGGAACATGATGGTCGGGGGGTTTTTTTCTTCTCTTTTCCTTTGTTTTCTGCTAATCTGTTGAATGGATGGGGATGTGGGTGGGGAGGGGGACGGATATGAGGGGCGAGGACTTGAGCAAATCTCTTTCCTTCTTTCTCTCGTTCTTTTTGTTTGCTATGTGAGAGGGTTTTTTGGCCAACAGGATGTAGGTTCATGATGTTATGATGAGATGAATGACTTGGGGCGTATTGGAGGTGGCGTCGACGTTGTTATGATCGAGATTGATCTGGGCCGATTGGATTGGCAGGCTGGTTCTCTCTCCTTTTTTTTTCCCTCCTAACGCATATTCTACTTGCTCGGAGAGATACTCCGCTCTCCACAATATAAAAAGGAATTTAGGTTTATTCGTCACTCAGAAAGCTTCTACAATACCATGCTACTACACTAAATTTTGTATCCCTCGCACAATAATGATAATTGAATCGTACTTGCTTCACCTCACTCCCTGTCCAGCATCACCTACTGGGCCTCCGTGACACCATGCAGAGCAATCTGCGCCCTGATAGACGATCCATTACCCACGTTGAAGTTGTCCTGCAGGACCATGCCCTCAGCAGTTAGCACGTCTCTAAATGCAACCTGTGCACTGCCAACCTCCGCAGTCTTGTTCAGTAGCGAAAGCTGGAAGCCAGCCGGGTTAGCCAGCATATCAGTGGTAATGGGAATAGTGAACGCCTGGTCAAAGGAAGGATTGAAGATATCGGTTCCAGGCGAGTACGACTTTGCTGCTGTTTGGAACGTCTTGTCACCCCAGGTGACCTTGACGCTGGGGTTGAGCTCGTCACGGTGGCCATGGAGTTCCTGGACACCAGCAATGAGAACGGTAGCGACACCGCAGATTTGGCCTTGGCCCTGGCTTTGAACGCCTGGAGAGGACAGTACTTGTGGGTCGTTGACAAGGTGGAAGAACTTGGCTTGGATCACGAGCCTGCCTGGAGACTCTTGGCCCTTTTTCGTGAGAACGAGTTCTTGTGTACCACCCTTGAGGAGGATTTCCTTGATCGTCGTAGATCCGAGTCCCATGTCGTCATCACCAACCATATCTTCGTCTTGGATGTCTACAGTGATGTCCTGCTCAAAGTCTGTGACTAGGAAGTCGTGGGACTCGTTCCATTGCGGCTCACGATTGTTATCCACGGTCGAAGTCTTCCATTCCCCTTCCGCACCAACCTTGACCTTGACGTAGCAGTCTGGTACGTCTTCGAGCTTGACTTTTGCCATCAGCTTCTTAAGCCCGCTTTTCTTTTCGCCGTGTTTGGGTACGTCGATTCCAGTCGCCTTGCCAACGGTCACACGGACGACTCCGTAGTGCGGCTGGAAGGCCTTGAAGTAGTCGGTATTGGGATCCAGCTTGACTAGGAAGCGGTTCGGGAGCACTGCCATTGAATCAATGACACCAAGAATAGTCTTGCGGACAGTGCTGTCGATAACAGAAAAGTCGGCAATGTTTGCAGCGTCTGTGAAGTCCAGCTTCAGGGTTGGTGTGTTGAGGAAGGCAATTTGAACGGCCCCGATCTATGTTCAAGTTAGAATACGCTTTGGGTATTGGCTAACTAGATACACGACTTACCAGAGGAATAGCATTTGTCAATGGGCACAGCAAGACGCTGATACGACCTTTCATATGAACTCGCTCAACACCCTAAACATCACGTTAGTGATAATCCTGGCCTGCAGTCGATCCACACAAGACATACCACTTTTGGAACCAGTTTACCATCAAGCTCAAAGTCACACACACCCTCCCAGTTCATATCCATGTCAAGCTTGATTCCTCCGGCCGAAGTCTTGTGAACATCAACATTTGAGAAACCAATTGGAACATGGCCGAAATCAATCTTGACGAAGCGCATGTTGGCCAGCGGACCAGGAAGTGTGGTAGCAAGAATTGGCTCAACCGTGTCTTTGATGATGTTGGAGCCAGCTACACAGATGTTGGGCCATAGATTCTTGATGATGTCGTTGAGGAAGCCTGGTTGACGCGTGTTAGCAACTTGTAAAATGGGGTTTGTTGATAACAGTTCCTGTCACATGTGTGGAGTAGATGAGGGGTAGGAAAGCTGTATAGTGGGAGCAGGGTATTGAATGCTTCATTGTGTATCTCGTACCTGCGGGCTCAGCCCCTCCAGAGGCAGTCAGATGCTCGACAAGCGACGCGGGTGCCTGGTTCGCCATGATGTGGTGTCAATTCGTCTCTCCCGAGCTTTAGAGGGTGTTAAGGTGATCAACAGTAAGCTTAAAACAGCCGGGATCGAGTTGATATCTTTGTGGTTGTAGTAATAGGAAGAAGAGTCTGAGAAAGGGAGAGAGATGGGGAAGTGGTCAACAAGAGTACAATTGGTAGCAAAAGTACGCAGCCAGTTCAGAGCTACACGCAGCACCACGTGTTCGAGCCTGTTTGTTTGCCTCCATTCTTGGAACTTACTACTTGACGTCACGTCACATTGTCTAAAACGCGCCTGTGCTGCAGCTTGACGATGTCAACCATGCAAACCCCGCTGTGGCAGGTGGAAGCCACAGCTGCTGAAAGCCACACTCAGTCACGTGCTTCAGCCCACTCCCAACTTCCCTTGCGCTTATGCCATCATGGTCCCTGAATTCCGCTGCTACATACATTTGTTTTTCTTTTCTCGATATATCGGTTCCACCTGCCCAGATCTGTCACATCATCCCAGTCATCTCGAGACGCAAGCATCAAACACCACATATTTAGGCCACCCCAACGCCACAACCCATCCTTTTCGTAATCCTACAACAATCCCCGGGAACCCCTTGTACCTTCCCGATCGCCCAATCGATCCAGATAACATGGCTGACCGTGCGCCGCTCGTAGGTAGCAGCCATGCGTCGTTTGCTCGCTAATCTGATCTTAAAAGCAACGCATATACCCCAGGCTCGCATCGGTTACCCCGAACCATCATCCTTGTGGCTTGACTTTTCTTGTTAAACTCCCTGCCATGCATTAGCGATATGTGCATAATGAACCCGTTGCTTTTTCTCTTTCGTCTTTGTCTAGAGCGTGTCCATGTCCCAAAAGTTACCGTATCGAGGTACGCAGGGAATCGGGACGCTCAGACGGGCGTTCAGGTCGACCACGTTGTGGCGAGGTGGCGTTGTCCATGGGTCCGTGGATTTCCTTTTATGGGCCCACATCCCTCTCATGGAGCCATGTACCATGTACCATGTACTTGCTGTTACATGGGAGAGATGCTGGATCAATCCCAGCAGAAAGACCTGGCGGGTCTCGATCGTGGACCCATGGATCGTACTTTTACCGGTGCGATACGCGAAGTGAGATTAGCGACAAAGAGAGGATGGATACATGGAGAGCGTGTTGCATATACAGGGATGAGCATTTCTTGGCAAAAGATGTGTAATTACGGACTATCCATTCAGCAGCATTAACTCAGAGAACTTCTTTTTACTTTCAAGTAAAGTACTCCGCACACAGACCTCCTCTCTATGGTGGCAAAGGCTTACCATTCGGCGTAGTACCATCACATGGCGTCTTCAACTTACTCACCTCAATGCTCTGTACTACCTCTCCCTCATGCGCAATCAACACCGCCTCGCCACTCGGCTTGTATGCTTCCCAGCCCAACTTGGGCAGTCCGTTCACAGGGTCCTTGGCAAATGCCAAATAGTAATCCTGAACCTGCTCGCTGACCTTGCGCTGGAACTCGGTGCCATTGCCCCTTGCAATGCCGTAGGCGCCAAAATACATTGGAACGTCAGACGAGTGGTATGCGCCTTGCCAGAACTGGGGTGAGATGTTGCTAAAGTTTCCAGCGTAGAGGTAGCGGAATGTGGTGGTGTTTGCTGTGAACCGGTCGTCTGTTGTTTGCGCAGCAGGGCATAGGAAGAATTGACCTGTTGCAAAGTCTGCCTGAGCCTTAACGGGCCCATAGGTCTTGTTGTACGTTCCGAATGCGGTGCCCTCGTCAGAAGTCGTGCCGATTATGGCAGGCTTGCGTGAAAACTTTCCAGCCAGAGCGCGCGCAGTAACGTCTGAGAAGAATGCGCGGTTGTCGACTACTGGTGTGAAACTCAGGCTGGGAGATGTGCCGTTGTCGGCGTACTGCTTGAGGAAGCCTTCAATGGCTGTATGGGGCACGCGCCGGAAGCAGTCAATCTCGGCTTTGGGGTCGGAATTGCTGCATCCAAACTGCTTGGCGACAAAGGTAAAGTTTGTCTGTTGGACGTCGGCACTTGCAATAGGGAGTAGAGCCGTTCCGGAGTTCATTATGAGACCCGAAACAATGGGGTCTTTAGGGTAGGCGAAGTTGTAGTTGTCGACAGAAGAAGCGCCCGCAGACTGTCCCCAAAGGGTGATGCGAGATGGATCACCACCAAAGTTGCGGATGTTATCCCGGATCCATTCCAAAGCCACGCGTTGGTCCAGTAAGCCAAGGTTCTGTTCGTCGGCCTTGAGGCTCTTCGAGTTGGGAAAGCCAAAGATGTTCAGACGGTAGCTGCATATGGTGAGTACTTTTCCAGAAAAGGAGGGTCATTTGCTTCAACTTACTTGATTCCAACAACAATGTGCTCTCCAGTCCTCTCAACCCATCTTGAAGGAACCTGATACGGAACAGTAGGTCCGCCAGTCACAAAGCCTCCACCATGGATCCAAACAAGCACAGGCAGCAATTCCTTCTTGCGGCCTCCATCCTGACACTGAGACAAAGGCGCCCAAATATTGAGTTTCAGACATTCTTCAGATTGAAAAAGGCGTGGCGTGATAATAAACTCGGGCGCATCGGTGAGCCAAACATTCGGCCTATCGACCTCGAACTGAGGACAAGAAGGACCCAAGACATTCGCCTCGATGAGTTTGTTCGACCTCTTCACTGAAGTCGGGGGCAACCATCTCCGTGCTCCCACCGGCTGCTCTGCAAAGGGAATACCAAGGTACTGCGCAACATTCGGTGTTATGTCATCAGTGAAACCCTTGATCTTGCCCGATGAAGTCTGGATAACCGCTGGGCTTCCAGCAGCAGCCCAAACAGGAAACTGGGAGAGACCCAAAAGAAATGCCGTCACTCTTGCCATGATGAGCGAAGAAGATGCGCAAGAGATGAATGTATTTCCAGAATCCCAAATCCCCCGCGCTTTTGTACTCTATTTCCCTCCTAAATACCTCGGATATAACAAAATAGCTCTACTAGCCAATTTCTCCACATAGCGGCGGAAAACGTGTCTGGGGCCCCAACTTTTCCTAGCCGTCTTCTAAGGCCCGGCCGTATTGACATCATCCGAGGTTTACGCGCAGCCTTGTCATTGGGTCGTTGATCAAAAATCGTAGTCATAGGTCCACCTTCCTATTGCAACCTAGCCCCCCCGCAGTCCATGACTTTAGAGTAACGGGAGTACCTGTAAGCGGTCAGTTGCAGGGGATACAGATCTAGGAAAATAAGCTCTTGCGGAAATTATACTTTGGAAATGACATTGTTTGTAACTTAGGAAGGGGGGGGGGGGGGGGTGAACCCTTGTCGTTTTTTTTGTATGGAATAATCATCACAACTTGCTCGTCGTCTCGAGGTAAAGGATTTTTTTTTCAAATGGAGGGGCTCTCTCTCCCCCGAATCCCCGGGAAAGCAAGAGAGATCAACGGACTAAATGCCGGTCCCACATCGTACGAATCGGCAGCATTACCGACCAGGTTGAAGCCTTCTTAAAGCGGATTGTGGCAGTTGATGTGAACCAGGTCTATCAAAACACCTCCAGACCAACTTTTTTTTTAACCCCCTTATCTCACATATCCTTTCAATATCCTACCTACATATATATCCTCAGGACGAAAGAAGAACCGGTACACATAATACCTAAAAAATGAAAATTCTCATCACAGGCGCCTCCGGCTTCGTCGGCCAAATCCTCGCCCACCACCTCCTCGCCACAAACACAGCCACGCATCTCATCCTCGCGGACCTCCACGAACCCCCTTCACCCAACCCCTCATCCCAAAACATCACCTGCACAGCCGCAGACCTGACTTCCCCCTCCGCCTGCACCTCGCTCATAGCGCAAAACCCCGATGCAGTCTACATCCTACACGGCATAATGTCGAGCGGCAGCGAAGCCAACCTCGATCTAGGCCTCAGTGTAAACTTTGAATCCGTACGCACACTCCTTGACACAATCCGCGCGCAGCGTCCCGGCATCAAGGTAATCTTCACCTCGTCGTGCGCTGTGTACGGGCGCGCAGCCGTAGCAAACGTAGCCACGGAAACAGACATAGTCGCCATGCCCGAGTCGAGCTACGGGACGCAGAAACTCATGATTGAATTCCTGATCAATGATTACTCGCGGCGCGGGCTGATTGATGGGCGCACAGTACGGCTCCCGACTGTGTTTGTGCGGGCGGGGGCGCCGACGGCGGCGGCGTCGTCGTTTGTATCGGGGATTGTGAGGGAGCCCGTCAAGGGTGTTGCAGCAGAGTTACCCGTGGATCCTTCGATAGGGATTTGGCTTACGTCGCCGCGGACGCTGGCGGCGAACTTGGTGCATGCGGTCAAGGTGCCTGCCGAGGCGTTTGGCCATTTCAGACAGGTTTTGTTGCCGGGGTATACGGCGACGAGTGGGGAGATTCTGGAGGCGCTGGAGAAAGTGGCGGGGAGGGAGACGCGGGCGTTGGTTACGGAGAAGAGGGATGAGGCGACGGAGAGGATTGTGTTGAGTTGGCCGGCCAAGTATGATACCTCGAGAGCGAAGGAGTTGGGGTTTAGTGAGGATGTGGGGCTTGAGCAGACGATTAGGGATTTCATTGAGGGAGAGAAGAGCAAGTCATGATGGGATGAGGTAAATACGATGGAAATGTCAAGATGCCTATAGACGATTGAATGAATGTAGATGACGACGTAGCATAGATTTACACTAGATGTACAAAATCCATATCATGGACATTTGTGGAGACTTTCAAGGCGCATCTTCAAGTTGCATAATACATCCACGTAAAATGGTCACAGATACTCTGCTTGTCTTGAATTCGAATCATCATATTGACAACCCGCAAAGCCCTGTGTCAGAATCAAAAAACAGAGCTTAGGCCTTGACCGCATCAATCGTATCCTTGACCTCATCCCCCTTATCCTTGACCACATCATCTTTATCTTTGACCGTATCCTTTTCTTTTTCAGCACTGTCTTTATCCTTCTCAGGTCCATCTGTAGCCTTCTCCGCACCATCTTTATCCTTCTCATCATTGACGGTCTTCTTTTCAGTCTCAATCAAGTCGTAGTCAAAATCAGCCTTGTTGTCCTCAGCATCAAATACCAAAGTCCGTCTTTTGATCTCTCTCGGCAGGGGTGAAGTCGCTGGAATGTCCACACCAATCAAGGCATCCTTGGCCTTCTTGAAATCTTCGGCTCGTTTGTTATCATCAGGTGCGGGTGAGGATACAGGTGTCTTATTTCCCCATCCCTTTCTCTTCTCACTTGCCCAAGTGCCCCAACTAGAGAAGTAGGCACTGGCCCTCGCTTGTGCGTGTGAGAGATCCGGAGCTTGTGGTGATTTCCCTATAGTCAATCAGTCTGCATGTACTTCTCACGCTCTGGTCAGTACAACTTACACTTCTTTTCTTCCTCGGCTGCTCGTCCCTCCTTCTCGGCCTGAATTCTTGCTTCTTCAGCCCTTTGCTTCTGAGCTTCACGCATGGCTTCCATCTCTGCCCAGAGTCTATTGTAGGCGGAGGAGAACCTTTGCTGCCCTGCAGCGATCTGCTTTCCGAGGATTTCTCTACTCTTTTCGAGTCGTTCATCAAGGTGCATTTCTGCTACCTGCCTAATCGCCACGCGAGAATCAGCACACATACTCCCACTGAGACAGCTTGGAATGTGGGGTTGCTCCAAAGACTAAGAAGGAAGACTTAGTTGGGGTTGCAAGGCGAAAGAAAAGAAGTGGAGACGTACTGTGCTAGTCGGCGCTGAACGTCTTCCATGCTGAGACCACCCGAGCAAGGATGCTTGGGATCGACAATGTCGAAGAGATGTGAGTCTGTGAATTTGTTCCAGATGCGGAAATTCTCCGTCTGCATCCAGGCCTGTACCCAGTCGTTCGAGAACTCGCTGGCCGGGTCGCCCTCAACATCAGTGAGTACGGGCTCTTTATGTGCGTGCTTCTCCATGTACAGTTTGTATTTGACTGAGCTTAGCATCGCAAGGAGGTACTCTTCAAACTGCATGCGGATAAATTCTTCACTGCCAGCATACCCATGGTCCTTGGGCCGCCCTGGGTCCGACTCGTCCCATGTATCGTGAACTGTCTGGGTTAGGAAGTCAATCCATCGCCGGTCTGGTGTCGAGAGGACCGATGCTTGACGAAGCGAAGCCGAAGTGATATTCACCGTATGATCATCGAGGTTGATGAGAATGTCACTGTAGCGATCTTTTTGCTGCAGTAACAATGAATTTGTAGAGCCAACAATGTACGACTTTGTGTGTTGATCTGCCAAAACATCGAGCTGCTGAAGCGGGGTATACGGTCCGAACAGCGAGCCTGTACCAAACAACTGCAGGGGGAGACCCATATATGCAAGCACTGCGATTCGTTAACACGATGGGCTGTCGTCTGGGGTTGGACACTAACAAGAAGCGCGTTCTGACGTTTTCAACGACGTTGGCATGACACATTTCTCCTCGCACGAATTGAACTTGGGGTCAGCAGCATCCTGGAGGTGGCGAATAAGGCCGGGTATCAGAGAAATAAGAGCAAATTGCATCATGCATAATCGCTCGCAATGAGAGCCGAAGAAAAGAACCTGTTGGGTGTTGTGTCAACATTAGTGTGACAGCTGTACGCGCCGTCTCTCCTCGACTGCCAGAATGTAGCGTACCTTTGGTTGGAGTAAAGCGCACTTGAAAAGAACCAGAGTCTGCCATTTGAACTCGTGTATGAACTCGCGCAAAGAGATACCGAAGTAGTGGTCCTGCTGCCCTTCCTGGTTCTTAAGCAGCTGGGGTAGACTTTCTGTGAACCGCTCCAATATCTCAATGTCCCTAAAGTCTCTGTAGTTTGTGTTAGCCGCATGGCCGGCCGTCCTTCTTTTGAACAGTATACCTTTGCGCAAACCACAGCTGAGTAACAACACTCAACTGTGCCTTGATTGCGCCAAAATGCTGCGGGCTGTTGCTTATAACCACTACCGCCTTTTGCACCGTACTCCTTGTAACTTCAGCCGGCCGGTCTATGAGCTTGCTAGCATCGAGTTGTCGCGTACATGAGATACCGAAAAGAGAGGTTGCGGGCTCGTTCGGGGTTTGTGCACGGCGGAGGGTGAAGTAGGAGTAGTCTTCGGTGGAGGCATGAGCGCCATCGCTCAGGGCCATGAAGGGCAAGAGGGACCAGTCATTGTCGGCTGCCGGGTCGGTCCCCTCTTCTGCACCAAGCCAGAGTTCGATTTCGGGGCCTCTATCGTTTTTTATCAGCAAATTTGTTATTCCGGTACAGATGGTCCAAAGCCCCCCCTTTGCCCACTCCATGAAATAGTAACTGAGCTTACCGCGCATGATGAAAATCCACCACACATACAAGCGGATTAAGTGTCGCCATGGTTGTGCGCTCGTGGAGATGTCGCACGGCGGTCAGGTTCTCGAAAGTGAAGAATCCAAGGCCATAGGGGCCGGGCTCACGTCCTATGCATAGTTGGGGAACGCGATGCGAGCGGTGACGAACAACACCCGTCCCACCATCAGCCAACCTTATGGAGCTAGGCCTCTTTAGGTCACTAGCCTCGGCGAGCGCCACCTCATCAGCCACCCTGGAGCAAATGATCACCAAGACGACCAGACTGGAGAGCACTATTAACAACATAATCTCATATTCTTACCTAAGCTAAGGGCATGGCCCAGTCGTGTCATGAAACATTCCTTTCGTGTACAAGCATTGATAATTCAAAAGACAAAAATAACACCCATGTCCATCTACCTCCGCACTTTCATGTCACATGGGTCCGTCCACCAAACGAGACCTTGGGAATCTTTGAGAAAAGCCAAATCCGCCTGCTCCGCGCAGATGATACATCGAACTTTGATAAACTACATGACTCGGTGCCGGGAACTGTAAAAGTATTATGGCTGGATTCGGAACATCCATTGGCGATCAGCTGCCGTTATTCTCCTCCGGTACTGCCGCATCAACGTTGTGGTAATCGAGGATCTCCGAGTACCTGCAAATAAGTCAGCATCTTGTGTCCCATGGTTGGTCTAGTTGTGAGCCTACATCATGATCTTCCAGGTGTCGACTGGCAAGTCCGCATCGTTGAACGACCAATCGAATTTCTCGTCGGCTACCGGCTCATCCGTCGGGTCGTGGTATGGCGCAAGGTATGCGTGAGCGAGAGCCTGCTCTGCTCGTACGCGCTTCCTCGGGTCAAAAACCAGCATGTTTTCTAGAAGATCAACCGCTGTGGAAAGTTAGTCTAGCACTCTGGGCGTCAAGTTTTCAGCACGTACCATCAGGCTCAGCGTTCTTGAACTTGTTGGCCAATGGTTGCCTCTCGCGCTTGGGAAGCGATTGAACGAATCGCAGTGTCTGTACAGTTTTAGCCAAGGCTCCTCGCGATTTCAGTTGCGGGGGGGCGTATTTACGTTTTCACTGCAAATGGTCTGAATAACATCATCTGGGGGAGTGCCCAAAAGCTCCGTAATAATGGAGAATTGGTTCACGTGGTCCTTTCCAGGGAAAAGGGGCTTGCCCTCGAGCATCTCAGCAAAGATGCATCCCGCGCTCCAAATGTCAACCTCCACATCGTACTTTTGCCACGTGAGCATGATTTCAGGTGCTCGGTAGTATCGTGTCGAGACGTAACCCGTCATCTGGGGGTCTTGTATACGGGCGAGACCGAAGTCGCAAATCTTGAGATCGCAGTTCTCGTTGACGAGGATGTTGCTGGGCTTGAGATCGCGGTGCACCACACCAGCGGAGTGGACGTATTTCAATCCACGCTTTCTTGAGTCAGCCAAAATTCCTCCCCTTTGTTTTATTGTGCACGTTGAATCGATTTCTACTACGTACCAAAATCTGATAGAGAAAGTATTGGATAAATTGCTTCTCGAGCGGCCTCGAAGTGAGCAGACGGTGAAGATCGGTGCCGAGGAGCTCAGTGACGAAGTAGCTGAATTGATCAGTATGTGTTCATGGCGGGCCGTAATTGGGCTACGTACATGTCCTCGAGGGGAGAGATGAAGATATCGCTCAAACTGATGATCTGGGTGGGGTCAGAATTTTGCTTGGAGGTTTGGCAGCAGAATTGCCCACATTTTCGTGTCGAAGGTGCTTCAAGAGCTTCAGTTCTCGGTATGTTCGCTTGGACAGAACTGGAGTGCTGAAGGGCTTCATGATCTTCTTAACAGCCACCGCCTGGTTGGTAAGCTGGTCCTTTGCTGAGCTGCGGCAAAAGTCAATACTGAGTTATTCGCGAAGATGGAGGGAATGGTACCAGACGAGACCGAATGCGCCCATGCCGACAGGCTGCAGATCGGTGTATCTGTGGAATGTTAGCAGAGGCAGAGGCAGGAGGTGACGAGGGTGGGGCATTGTTCCGCACCTGCTGGTAATCTCAAAGGTGGTGCCAAAAATCTGGGCGCGTACGAATTCCGCCATGGTAGAATGTGGAGTTTATGGCAATGCGACAGGCGCGGGGTGGAGGGCTTTGGATAAAGGGGGGGCTTGGGAGGGTTGTGGTTGGAAAATAGGCAGGCTGGACGTGGGGAAGTCGCGAATATTTCGGAACTGAGGAGCACGTCGAGGCTGCTAAATACAGACAGGTCTTATTGGAGTCGGTAACTAGACGCGGCAAACAAGGCGATTGCGCGACACTGGCTCCGAGGACTCGTTTGTGAGCACTTTCAGAGTTTGCACCAGGGTAGGGGAGACGGTTGGGAAGGGTAGTAGTGGCCGTGTTTGATTACCGCCTTGAGTGTGTGGACAGGCAAACGGGCGGGCGAGGGCGAGTAGTGGCGGCGGCGGCAGAGTTAGCTTTGTGCAGCACACAAGGATGGAGGAGGGCAGTCAGAGCAGTGGCAAGCGTGGAGATGAGCGGCGAGAGAAGAGGAGCAGGAGAGTGAAGGTCTAGGAGGGCGACGAGGGGCAAGGCACCAGACGCGATGAGGGATGCATGGCCCGGGCTCTAGACGTCTCTCACGCAGGTTTCGGCGTGTTCAAGAGTGACGTCACGATGGTCTTTGGGAGTTGTCGATAAAAGCCCGTGCATCACGTCCAGTACAATTTTTCCCTGGGCCCATTGAATGCTCAGTCCACGCGTAATCGGCGGGCGTGCCATGGGAACGCGGCCGACCTGCTTGTCCTGCCCAGGTACCCCACCACGACTGACGTTAACGGCTGTGTGGTGCCCATCCCAGCCTTGTCCCTCTCTCCCCCTCACTTCACGTGGTCTGCCGGCTCGTGCGCGTTCCCGCCTAGGATTCGCTCGTGCCCGACGGGGGATGGGATGGCCACGGAAACATGGAGTGGGAATTTCACTCAGCTCGACATGGAGCCGCTGGAGGTGGCTCTGTGTTGGGTATGCGGTTGCGGCCTGAGAGAGAGAGAGAGTGGCGATGTGCATGCCTGGGCAGCCGCTGTGCCTCGTTTGCTGACGATACGATGGAGCAGCTGTAGCCGCACATGGCAGCCAAGCCTGGTGTCATTTCGACGTAGTAGTATGCAGGTGTGTACACAAGTATGTAGGTACATGCGTGTGTATGTAGTATGTACTTGGATACGTACAACACAGATATACATACACACACACACACATATGAGTCGCATACACAGCAAAGGGGGCCTGACATGGCAATCGCCCTGTATTAGCCGCCACAATCACCATGGCAATCCGATGTCTGCTAAAAGTCGATACACGCCAGACTAGGCCCAGGTCACGCATGCGGTGATGGGCTGGACTGCGCTGGACTGGTGTGGTCTGCTCGGCTTGCTCGGCTTGCTCCGAAGGCGTGTGGACGGCACCCCTGCGGCTATCACGGCAGGTTATAGCCATAGCCGCGGAAGCTGACAGTACCTACACAACGTGGTAGCGGCAGCTGACAGACGTGGTGTTCCCGGGGCGGTTCAGGTGCAAGAGCATAGAGTGTCGCTGTCTGCATGGCCGCCGCCGGCTCCAATCGTGTTTCGTCGCCACGCGTCATCATGCACGACATGGCCGCCGCCTTGTCACTGGGTAGCGTGCGACTCTAGATGGACATAGCAGCGCGCGAGCAGTGAATGCGGCAAGGCTCAGTCTGTATGGTGGATGGGGTGCATGTATGCCATTGTGTTGTGTGTGTGGGCTCTGGCGCCGAAAGCTAGCGTCTCACAAGGCGAGCATAGCAGAGGTCTGGCCAGCAGGCCCCCTTGGAGCCAGGACGAGCCAGGACGAGCCAGGGGGGAGCGAATGAGAAAGCGCGTCCGAAGAGCGTCGCTGTGTCAGTAGGAGCAAGTGGTCCTTAATTTAGACGTCATTTGGCAGTGCAGAGACCAGACTGAATGCCTCGCCTGCCGATCCAGGGCATGGAGACGAACTCTATCGTGCAGGCGCCCAAGGGCATTCCGCTGCCATCCCGCGCGGGTAGGCCGTCGTCGCCTGCTGAGGAGGGGGTGTCTGTGCTGTTTGCAACCAAAGGCTCACTGCTCACTGCTCACTGCTCACTGCTCACTGTACTGCACTCGATGCTGAGTAGGAGGATGAGCAGCGGCTGCAGGGGCGGTAATATGAAAGGGACACAGGACACACTGCTCGACTGCCAACCGCCAAATGCCAACCCGCAATTTGCCAATGACAGCTGGATGCCGCATCTGGCACCCATGAAAGACTGCCGTCGCATAGGGCGTCCAGGACGGAAGAGAGAGTGCCAGACAGCCCGGCCTGCCCTGCCCTGTCCTGTCCTGTCCTGCCCTCGCACCACTCCCTCCCTGCCGTAGTAGCCGTACTGCAAGTAGAGTAGCAGTCGACTGCTAGCATCCGCCCTCTCCCTCTGCCTCTGCCATCTGCGCGCCCGCTTCAGCGCCGTGTTCCACAGCCTTGGCCTGTGCCATTTGACCCTGATCGCTGTCCTGGTATCCCGGATTGAATGAGGCTTAGCAGCACTCGACTCCCATCATCATCATCATCATCACCACCGCCGCCGCCGCCAGCCCCGGCTCTGCTGCTGCCGCTACCATCAACCATCATCCTCTCTGCCATCGCCCTCCCGTGCTCGATCCACTTCTCTCACCCGACACCGCGCCCATCCCGCAGCCAGCACCGCCTCACCCTCGCCGCCTGCACTTACCGTCTCCAGCCACGAGGCTTGTTGGCCTGTCAGCAGCGGCGTTTGCAGTGCCCGGCGACGTTGCAAGCTTCGCCGACTCCAGATCCCGCGCCTTCCTCGTCAACTTGCTGGGGAAGCCTCCTCCGCACGAGCCAACAGCAGCCCTGGAGTCTCGGATCTAGCTCGACAACACCACCCTACCAACCATTCAACACCACCACCACCGTCGCTACGAACCCCTCCGCCTGCGAGCGCCCACCCAGCAAGGCCCCCGCCCCCATCCAGCTCTCCGACCACCCTGGCGCCCGTCGCCCCTTCCGCTTGCCCACGCTGCGAGGGCCCCCTTTGACCCGAGCTGCGTGTCGGATTCACCCGACGGGAACCATCACCACAGCTCCACCACTCCAACGCGCCCCCCCTGCGCCGCCATCGACTCGACACAATCCATCGCGCCCGCCCCGACACGAAGCAGACGACCTCCTCGCGACGCGCTGGGCCCAGTGCTCACCCATTGTCCCGCGCCCGACGTCCATCATCGCCCGCGGCCGCGAGCCGCACTAGACGACAGCCACCATGGGTATCTGCATGAGCACAAACAACGACGATGTCGAGCAGAAGAAGCGCAGCCAGGCCATCGACCGCAAGCTCGAAGAGGACTCGCGCAGGCTACGGCGAGAATGCAAGATCCTGCTGCTGGGTGAGTGGCCAAAGAAAAAAAACCCGCTGGCTTGCCCTGCTCTATCCCAGCCCTGCTAACCCGCCCCTACAGGTTCCGGAGAGAGTGGCAAGTCGACCATTGTGAAGCAAATGAAGATTATACACCAAAACGGCTACACGCAGGAGGAGCTTGCCATGTACCGCCTGACCATCTACAAGAACGTCATCGACTGTGCAAAGGCTCTTATTGGCGCCATGCGGCAATTCGACATTACCTGCGAGAATCCAGGCAACGCCGAGCTATGCGACTATCTGGCCAACTACACCGTCGACCCGGACCCGGAAAAGCCACTCGACCAAAGAGTAGGCCAGGCCATTACCTCCATGTGGCGCGACCCTTGCATACCAAAGGTGCTGGAGCACTCGAGCGAATTCTACCTGATGGATTCTGCGCCCTAGTACGTTTGCGCATCACGTTTCCATCGACTTGGCTGACACTTGTAGCTTCTTTGACGAGGTGGAACGGATATCAGATCCAAACTACGTGCCCATCGAATCCGACGTTCTACGAGCGCGCACCAAGACAACGGGCATTTATGAAACACGATTCACAATGGGCCAGCTAAGCATCCAGTACGTGCGCGACTTCAAACATGTGTCTGGTGCTCGGACTAACCTGAAACAGTATGTTTGATGTTGGAGGCCAACGGAGCGAACGCAAGAAATGGATACATTGTTTCGAGAACGTCACATCCATTATTTTCTGCGTAGCCTTGAGCGAATACGACCAGGTGTTGCTGGAAGAGAGTTCACAAGTATGTACTCCAAACCACATGTTCGTTGAATCTGTAGTACTGACTCGCGGCCCAGAACCGAATGATGGAGAGTTTAGTGCTTTTTGACTCGGTAGTCAACAGTCGATGGTTTATGCGAACAAGTATCATTCTCTTCCTCAACAAGGTTGACCTGTTCAAGGCCAAGCTTGCACGATCACCACTCGGCAACTATTTCCCAGATTACTCTGGCGGCAACGATGTCAACCGTGCCGCCAAATATCTCTTGTGGAGATTTAATCAGGTAAACCGGGCACACCTGAACCTATATCCTCAGTAAGAATTACGTATCCAGACCCCCCCCCACTATGCACGCCTAACCAAGCCAGCCTCACGCAAGCCACGGATACATCAAACATCCGACTCGTCTTCGCCGCCGTCAAGGAGACGATACTACAAAATGCGCTCAAAGATTCGGGCATATTGTGATTTGTCGTCCACACAGCAACCACGGTCCTCTGTCGCCCGCTCGGCCTCGGGCCTTATGAGTGCTCCGCCTTCGAAATTTGCGCACACGCGTTCCTCCGTCTACACTTACTACATAATACACGAGCCCGTTTACGATCATTACTCCCGATCGTGCCACTGATGAGGCACACTTGCGGCCACGAATTGGGATTTGGGAGATATCATTGCCTCTAGCTATTGACACATAGAGAGCGCAGCATTGGTGTTTTTGGCGTTGAAAGATTCCCTGGGCCTGGTCCTTTTGTTTTTTCCAAATCTTGGGGATGCGAAATGGGGCATCACACTACACACACACACACACACACACACACACACACACGTTATCATCGTCGTCGTCTCTCTCTCTGGGAACTGGGAACTGGGCTTTTTTTGTTGTTCTATCTTCTGTGTCTTTTTCTTGACCTTGTTGTTCTTTGGAATTTTTTGTCCCTAACCCGCCTTCATCTTCTTTTCTTTTCTTCTTTCTCTCGTGCCTAGTTTCGACTTTAACTCAACCCGCCCGATTCCTCCCGCTTTTTTACTTCTTTTCCTTTTTTTATATGGTCCAACTGGTTTAGCCCTCTGTCTCTCTCTTTGTTGTGTGTGTGGTATATTGTGTGTACGTGTGTTGGAATTGAGAAAGAAAAAGTTGAATTGGAACATTTTTCACCCCACCCTCTTTCCTCTTCCCTTTCTTCCCTTCGTCCGCTTTTTGTGACTCGGGGTTTCGCCCGTTGTTTCGGTCAGATAGGGAAGCACAGAGGAGAGGGGCGGGCTAAATAACCACCATTTTCTTGTACGCTTATATTAAAACCTTCTTTCCTTCATGACAGTTCTTTTCTCCCCCCCCCCAAAGTTTTTTTTCCTTTTACTCCCCGTTTTTTTTTCTTATATCAAGGTCTATATACACACCACTCTAACTCTACAAAAGGGATGTGTTCGTGCCTACTGGCGGTGGGTACTCGGTGGGAAGGAAGGGAGGGCGGTGACCTTTTCTTTTCTCTTTGCTCCAAAACAAAAAGGGTGAAAAAGATGTCTAAGACAACGGCCTGGAATCATCTTTTTTTTCTTTTACCTTTCTTAGTTGGCTATATGTGTGTGTGTTGTTTTCTATCTCCAGAGGTCCTAAGGGATATCTTATTGGCTTGGCTTAGTCTTTTTTTTTTCCTATAGTATACTATCTATGTCTTTTATAGTTTGTGGGGGAAGGAGCAATTCTGTGGGCGGACTGAATGGGTGGGAGAGGGTATAGGAGGGGCTTGCTAGTGCTGGGTGCTATATATATGTAATGGTTATACGGTCGAATTATTATTATTATTATTATTATTATTCGGAAAAAAAAATATATTATATTGTTTCATGTTTGTTACTTGTGTATATCGCCCATTTTCGTGTACCTTGGAATGGGTTTTCTCATTGTGATGTGATGCTGTTCTCTCTCCCTCTTTTACTTTTTTGTTGTTTTCAAGACAAACGGTTTCCAAATCTTCCATATTATCCCGTTTGTTTCGTCTGTTTACTAATTTTTCTTTCTTCTTTCCCCCCTTCCGAGACGTTGAGACGTTTAGCTGACATGTTGAAACTAGTCACCAAAACACTTCGCGTTACCGCCTTACCTAACAAGAACTATCGGTTATTGTTTTCTTCGTTGCGCATGTAGACGCACCCGTAGCGCAACTATTCATTAACCCACCGCACGTAACATGCTTTTCCCATCCTTCATTACCGCCTCCCAATCATCCCAGTCTCTGACCAACTACCGCACCTTGCAATGTACACGTACACGTACATAATTCCCGTGCGTTGAGTTGTTGACTTCCTCCTCTCCCTCTCACCGCGCATGCCATCTACATCGTTGAATTGGAAAAGAAAAAAACAAAAGGGTCGATGTATCGAAGGGGAGGGGCACGTGGACATGTGTATATGTTATTCTTCGTGCTCTCTTTTTTTGGGGGGCCGGCCTTGAACGGCGGATGGCCCGTTGTGCATTGCATACGCATACGCATATGTGCATCGAGGGGACCGTGAAGGGGGGGAGGGGGGGCATGTGACTGTGTACATATCCCCTCCTTTCACCGTGTTTGGTCTTGGAGAGGAGGATGGGAACGGTGTAGAAGTACACGGATACACCGTATTGATATGCGTGTGATGGGAAGTAAAGGCAAAGTAGTAAGATGCCGTCATCTTCCCTTTGCTGCATCTTACCCAAAACCGAAAAAAAAGGTAAATGGACATGTGTACTCACACACACACACACATCTATCTCCCTTCCCTCCTGTGCAGCATCTCGTATATCCACCACCACCACAAGATTTATACACTCATCTCCAATTTCCAACCCAATAGCACCCCCTTGCACATACTATTCTTCACGTAGGCCCAATAGTTTAAGCCAAGGAGTCCCCTTCTCAAAGCCAAGTGAAAAGAAAAAAGGGGGGGAAGGCACGAGGAAATAACGATGTGCAACCCCACTCCGCCCAGCCCAGCCCAGCGCAAAAAAAACAACAACCAAGTACGCAAGTAAGTAAAGCACGGGAGTCAAGAAAGAAGGGGGGCGCGGCGACGGCAGCGCGGGCGCGGGCGCAAGCATGGGCGGAGCGGTGTACTATGTTGTTGCTTGGCTTCTCTTTCGTTGCTTTTTGAGTCTTATCATTTGTCGTTGAAATTCGGTGACGGTGGAAGGATTGCATATGTGTCTCAACTCCTTATTCTTCAGCGTTGGGTACTTGATTTTTTTCATTTTTCTCATTATGGTTTTGTTTGTGTGTGGGGATTTGTGTTTTTTTTTGGGGGGGGGGGGGGGGAAACAGGTATTTCTGGGTGTTTGCACAAAATATGCAAAGAGGTGTTATATTAGTCATGGTTGTTTTGACTTGATGGTTTGGGGTTTACATAGTTTGCAACTATTGTCATCGTAATCAGGCCATTGTTTGCAAGGGGCGCATCGTATAAGCATGCTTAAGCTTTTTTCCTGTCCCGTATAATCAGGGTTCTTGTTTGAGGGTCCTACTTATTGTGGAGAGGGACAAGGGGGATCAAGTGTTACAAGGTGTCTGTTTAGGGGATGGCCACGCGGGAAAAGAGTGGAGAAGATGATGTTACTGTTACGAGAATTGGAATGGCCGGCGGAGTGGGGGGTGGGTGGGTGGCAAGTTTTTTTCTCCACCGCTGCAGCCACATATCCTCACATCACGTTTGGTACAGCACATCAAAAAAAAAGGGAAAGAAAAAAGGTGTCCTCAGGTGATACTGTCATTTTTTTGGTCCAAGTATCTTAGTTTGCCCGCTAATTCCTAGCCCTAGCTGGAACCCCACAAATGAATCAAAACGCCTATTCCATGCCGTCCCACCCAAAACCACCGAGCCGCGAGTGATTTTTTGTCATGTTGATATCGACCTTCTGAAAGGATAAGGAAAAAAAGATGAAATGGTATCGTAATATCGTAAACGCCTATGCAGCAATATGCTTTTGGTAGCACAGCTCTCTCGCTATTAAAGCTCAAGGTGGCGCATGCTGCAACTTGAAAGTTGTCGCCCGGACAATGTAGGCCAAGCTGCTCTCGGAGCTACCGGCCTGCATGAGAAGCATCTATTCAATGTTGGACAAGAAAGCCGACCTCTCGAAGCTCATGCGCCTCTGTCGCTCAGCAGCGCTCATCTCCTTAAGGCTGCCCGGCGGGGCAGCATACTTCGCATTAACCGCAAGAGGAGAGAATATCTTAAGGCCAAGGATTGGTGAATCGTCATGTTTTGTGGCGGTGGGAGAAGATGGCGGGCTGAGAGTGCTAGCCTCTGAGGGCGGAGCTCCGATGCTTGCGTTGCTGGAGATGGAAGATACGGACTGATGACGTCCGCTGTTCTGTCGGTTGGAAAGAAACCCGTGAGCAGGCACGAGGGGCTCTGCGGCAGGTACAGCTGTGACGGTTTTCTTGACGGGAGTGTTGACAGCGAGAAACGACGTGGGGAAGGGGATGTGGTAGGTTGGGCGGGTGGAAGCCATTGCGCCAGGATGGATGTTGATGTTGGGTAGAAAAGTGATTGTTTGTTGGCTTGGGGTGAATGAGGGTTGTAGGTGAGAAGGATGAATTTGTTGGAGTGTGGTGTTTGTGTGTTGTGGGGGAGTGACCGAGAGGCCGAGGGCAGTCCTTATATGTGAACAGAGGGGTATGCGTAATGGAGGAGTGACAAGACTGGAGTCGTCCGTGGGTAAGGCCGTAGCGCTTGGCAAGCGAGTTCCGCTGAGCCTTGCGTGTGTGTGGAATGGGCCCTGTAACTGGCTGGAACGGCTTGGGGATCTACCAAAAGCAACTGAGACGCTTCCAAAGTAGGCGCTTGTGGAGCTAGTGGGCAGCTAGTCTATGGATAACTCCGCTTAGCATAAAAGAGGTGGTTCCGCAGAGGACCTGGGGCCTAGGGTTGCAGCGCGGGATGTTGCAGATGCTTCCGCGTGCTTGAGCTTGGCGGACGAGTTACGCTTGAAGCTGTCAATAGTATTGGTGCGGCAGGCTTCCGGTGAAGACGGCTTCGTTGACAGATAAGACTGCAAACAGATGCGTGTTTCGACTGCGTAAGCCTCTTGTGTGTGCAAGTATGATCGACGGCGAATCTGAGGCTGTTTGTGGAGCTCGACGAGCTTGGCGAGATAGATGCACAGGCAAAAGGGTGTTTCTTGTAAGTTCAGTAGCGTATCACCGCTTGGTGGTGTTGCAGTTTATTGGTTGCAGGACGGTTTTGGGTATGCCGAGACTGGCAAGGCGCGCGTAGTGGTGGCTAGGGCTTGGAAGCAGATGGGCGAGTACCAAGATGGCTTGGCAAGAAGGTTAATTGTTTGACGCGGCGGAGTGGAGATTGGATAGACTACTGTGATTGAGGAAGAAGAAAGGTTGACAATCTTGTCGAGCGCTTGTAAATTAATAGCACAGCAGTCACGGCGATAGGATTTGTCGGAAGCGTCGGTCCAAAGGGCGGTCGCACGGGTGGCGAGTGAATGGTGAGCAGAGATGGACCGACATGGCGGCGGCGGCATGGGCGGGCGGGGGACAGGAGTGGACAGGAGTGGACAGGAGTCGAGGGCATGGTGGAAATGTGCAAAGCTGGGATGCAGGCTGCCGGTGCTTGGTCGGTGGGTGGAGTACAGGAGAGAGCATGATCCACCACGTTGATGTAGCTAGAGTCCTCGGTGGCTAGCACTCGTGGGGGGCGTTTCTGACCAAGCAATGGCTGCATCAGGTAAGAGAATGACGCGACGCCCTCCCGTCGTCGTGGTCGCGCTATAGGCTCCTAGGCTGGTAGGCTCATTTCCTCGACGGCGCAGAGGACAGCAGTAGGCGTGCATACGACACCTCACGTCGTTGGTGCCATGTCATGGTCATTTGCTTTTCATCAGTGAACGTTCCTGGGGGGAGGGGGGGACGTCTAACCAGTCTCGGGCGGCACATGATGCGGGGGTTGCGCATTGCTCGCAGGCGGATCCGCGCCATGCTGTCCGCCTCCACCTCCGGTCATGCTAAGCCGAAGATAGCCTCCAAGTCTCGATACCGCGGCATGGGGGTGGTGGTGGTGGTGGTGGTGGTGGTGGTGTGAAAGACTTGACCACTTGCGGCGTGCGCCATGGCGTGAGATGGAGAAAAAGATGAGAGAGTTCCGGCGGAGCTTAGCAGAGAAAATTCCTCCGAAGATGCCTCTCGCTATCTTATCTCCGCTCCTACTAGTAAGCGACGGCCCCTGCAGACGCGACCTTCTACAACAGACATAGGTACGCGCGCTTCAGCTACACCTCACACAGCTACGCCTCATGCCAGAGTACACTACACTCTACATTCGGCGCTTCTAGGCCGTTGTCCGTCCCTGCATCCACCGGCTATATCCCCAGATGTATACCAGCTATCTCTACACGCACCAGCCTCCCCTACTCTCCTTGCAAAGATCTTCGTTAATGCATACATACACTGGCAGCTTACAGTATAGCAGCAACAAACTTCAATACACCTGAAACCCATGCCTGTAACAGCCTACCCGTCTTATCTTGACATCTGTCATCCATCGAGGACTTAGTCCCACAGAACCAACCACCTGCGCTACAACATACCTCGTGCATCCCAGGCCAGCCACAGCGGCCCACATGTGCCATGGAAATTCACTTTAACTCCATCTTGTTTTTCTTGTGTGTGATGGAGCCTTATGTCCGTCTTAGATGCGACCCTCAACAACTGTCCAGGTGGTGAAATGTAAGCAGAGCCACCTGGACAAGCATACGTCCGGTCGCTCCGCACCAGTAGACGTCGAATCCCTTGGATTCGATTCTGGTGTCTTTGTCGAAAAAGACGTCATTATTCAATGTCACGCATTAGCCATGACCACCAATCGTGCAGCCAGTCCCAATGCATGACCTCTTGCATGGCCACTCTGAATCCGCCTGCTCTGCCAGGCCTATAATAAGACAATGTATCCAAGGTCTGCATCTTGCCCACCTGCCAAAAACACACTCCCCCTAGCCTGTTTTCACCCTGCAAAGGCAGCCGGCCACCGCGGCGCCAACAGCGGGGGATGCACACCAAGGAATCGTGAAATAAGCGGTGTGACTTAGATCCAATCTGCCCTGTCATGCTGGCCCGTGTGAGCCACCCAACCCCACACTATGCCCGTAGTCCGGTGAAAGAGTGCGGAGTACCAAGAAAAAAACACCACTAGAATATTTCAACAAGCTGGAAGAAGTCTCGGAACATCTTTTCTTTCTTTTCGTTCTAGAACTAGACGAATGCCTCAACACACTTATTTAGTCTATGTCAGAGAAACATCCCGAGTGTAGAGTGAAAGCTTGACCGGAGACTATGTAACTGACTAGATGGCAACACGCATGAACTATTTTCGAGACATCATTGACCATGAAATATCCTCGCACATGGCGGTTGGTATGGCTGTTGCGTCGATACGAGCGAGATTTAGCGCATAGTGGTGGAGCAATGGCGCATTTTTCGCAGCTGAGACAACCAAGAACTCATTGGTCCTCCTCTACTTGCTACAGAATACTTTCAAGTCATCGAATGACATTTTTTTTTTAAAAAAAATCGATCAAATGTAAACTTTCTTTTCGCGACGTTCCTGGATGATATCATCATCAAACTGTATTTCCCTCTACCCGCACATAGAACACCCACGCCGGCCACAAACGTAGTCTCCATCTTTAATCTTTTGACAGCCGCAACCTTACAAGTCCATCGGCTCACTTGCCACTCCGTGTCCCACATGAAGGACCCACCGAATTTTTTTAAGCTGGTTTAAAACGTTCCGGTAAAAGAGTACGTTGCCCGTTTACGGTATCAAAGTGGGGTCACCTTGAACTAGTCACAATACACCAACATTTCGCAAGCGTTGGCGTCTTTTTTTTCCTTGCCATCGCAAGGAGATAAACCCCCCCAAAAAAAGCTTGAACAAACGCTAAAGCATGTGATAATCAGATTCTGACGCCTCGTCCCGGAAGTCTGTGTGTGCGTGTAGTGCGTCAGTGACGCGTACTTTTGACTAGTAGGGGACGTGGGGTTATTAAGCTTGTGTGCACCGGACAGAGGGGGGGTTGGTTGTCCTGGGTTACGCGTTCAAAGCCCTCCCTCCCCTCTTCTATTTACCACACTGAGCGTGCAGACAGTCATTGATAAAAAGATTGGCTAACCTTCTCTCTCTCTCTCTCATCAATGTGTGCTTCTTTGGCCATCGTATTTTGGTCAATCGTAATACTGATTTCAACCCGGTTTCATTTCACGTTTGTTTCGTTACTAATGAATAACTATCACAATCTACTAATGTCCACAGATGGAAATCTGCCAGTCCAATCAATGCAGCTCTGTTAGACATCTGACACTTTTTGAACCCAAAGGTCTAAGAATTGAGCAACGATCATCAAGGCAGGTTACAGCACCTATGTCGTAGTTGCGCAGAGCCCATTTGTTGGCGCTTCAAATCACTAGGGCCTTGGCACTGGTCGTTCAGAAGGTCTTCCGATGCCTACTAGTCGTCACCACTCTTGCTTTTTTTCCTATTGCTGTCTGGTAAACGTACCCCGCATCCAAATCTATTGTTGCAGTGAGGACCAAGATATGTACTCAGAATGATCTACGCCAAGTCGGACGTGTTCGTCATCTTGGTCTTGGTCTTGGGCGCTTTTGGTACTGTTTTTTTGCTTGTTTTCCAATCAAGAGAAACGCCGTTGAGTAGGAGTAGTCCCTTTACGAAGGTATTGCAAATTCATCCTGAACACGCATGTATACAATTTTCAAAGCGACCGCGATGAGAAGGTTAAGTGGGTTGATGCGAAACTTATGTCTTTATTCGTCTCCTCTCTTCACTTCTACGCTGTCATGCTTCTCATCAAGTTCATCTCTTCGCAAGTTGTCATATCATCTCAATCCATACGAATCTTTTGCTTCCAGTTCGTTTAATCCCTAATGGCTGTTTAGACCCCGATTTCTCGGCTTATGTTTAGTCAGTCTATGCCTCAAGACATGATCTTCTTGTATTCGAATTTGGCTGCATTTTGGCATTCAAATTGATAACCTTTTTCCCAATCGCATATCTTAATCTCCTAACAGATGTCTTTTCTCTCTCACAGTCAATCCAATTATTGCAAACTCGCAACACTGTACCCCCGAAGCAGTCATCTCTCACTGTCATGTCACTTTCCACTGGTGTCCTACCATATGAATCCCTGCTGAGGGATTTCAGTCGCCTTCTAGAAAGCTTTAGAACCTCATGGATATCAAGCCGTTATCGTATCGAGTAATCAGTCTGCTTCTCCCCTCACTGTGAGGGCCAGGGCCGCCAAGTACGCTGCACATACCGTCACGGAGGCCTCACTCCTCACTGAGACCTTCAGATCCCAACAACACCATTCACTTCACCATGCAAACGCAGCACTGCATCATGCAAGAAGCTCGGCCTTGGCCTTGGCTTGTGCTTGAAAAATCCGCACATAAAGACCATTTACCTGCTATCCCCTCTACACTCTCCCCTCTATCTTCTTCTCACTAATATCCCACACTCCCTCTGGCCAAACCACCAACTCCGGTGGTCTTGCCTCAGATTACCACTTCACAAGATGGACGCCACCGAGCTCGCAGGTAAGCGTGACACACCCAACAAGACTTTGATCAGTTCTCACAGCAGCAGCCGTCCAAAAACTTCTCAAAGAAATTCGCATCTACGCCACCCAAGGTCCCGCCAATGCGATCGATCCAGGTAAGTCTAAACCAGCCACCTTCAGTGGCTCCACCTGCTCAGTACTGACACCCAAAGACGCATTCGACGAGATCCGTAAAGCCCAATTCGGCAAAGCCCTCCCATACGAAGAAAGCCAGGATGTAATCCTCGATCCCACCAAAGTACCATCCTCCTCCACTCCTCATCAGAAAATCCTCACAACTAACCACACAACCAGAAGCTTCCCTTCCTCCCCACCGAGATCCTCAGCGAAATCATGTCGCACACCGCGCCCTCGGACCTCTCCAATCTGCGTCAAACCAGCAAGCGCTTCCGCTTCGCCGCCAAATCGCTCTTCGGTAAGCGCCTCGTCAACTCCCGCACCATATACCCCACCTACTCGAGTCTGTCCTCCTTCCTGGCCTTGCTCCTTGTCGACCCCTCCTACCCCCACCTCGTCCGCACCCTCTCGTTGGTAAGCGAGCACGCGGCACCCAACGCCTACGGCTACGACTGGGCGTGGGAGGAGCTCCAGAACCGAGAGCAAACGGGTCCGACTACGCGTGTAGACCGCGTCATCAAGCAGAGCATCGAGATGCGACATGAGCGGTGGTGTGCGAGCAGTGCGTCATTCGTGTTCGGAGGCGGTTATAGAGATATGTTGAGTAAGCTACCCTTACCCCCCGTCACTCCATTCTTCCATTTTTCCCTTTCTTTTTTTTCGTTTGTCTGCGTTGAAGCATTGTATTGTTTTTTGTACATGTGTGTGTGTGTGTGTGTGTGTGTGTGTGTGTGTGTGTGTGTGTGTGTGTGTGTGTGTATCGGGTAACTCATTACAATACCCACCCACCAGCCATCTTGTTCAAACGCCTACCTGCACTCCAAACGATTCGCCTGCGCAAACTGTCTCTCGGGGAGAACATTCCTGGACCAGACGGCATCGAGTTTCTCCAAGGAGCGCTCCAGGACTTGTCGTTTTACCGCCCAGGACTGCCGGTCAATCGCGTCCTTTATCAAGAGTGGCAATATGACATGGTCTATCAATGCATCACGACGCTCATCGATGAGTACGGCGACGAGTACATCTGGGACGGGGCAGGACCCCAAGCAGATTGCAAGACAGATGCTTTGGCTGCGGTCAAGCGGGCCAAGAGTAAGGCTGTTGTTGTCAAGATGAAGAGGGGTGTTGTTGAAGAGATCGATGAGGATTCCGACAACGAGATGTCTGACGAGGGGGATTCCGACGAAGAGATGTTCGACGAGGAGGACGACAACTGAGGCGAGCACCGGTGCCCCTCATCAGCAACGTTGATTGATTTTCCCGAACTCCCCGATTTGAGGGTGTGAGACTGAGCTTTGGGCTGCTACTGGGTCGATTGTACGATGTTTGAGACGTTGTGGATTGTCCTTGATGGACTGAGATTGCGATTTGAGAGGAGATACCCGCGAAGGTGGAGGATGATGATGAAGATGGACGCATGGTAATGGATGAGAGAGAGAGAGAGGCCAGTCACCAGTAGTAGCCCCACGACGACGACGACGACGACGATCTCAACAAAATGACACATACAACGGAACGACACATACAACAGAAACGACACATATACCAAAAACCACATAGCGGAACGCAATGTCATGACGTATACATTCAAATCTTCTTTCTTTCTTTCTCTTTGCGTGATAAATATGTACACATCTTCATTCACCCCTCCCCAAACACAAACATCCTCCAATTCTTCCCAAGCCGTGCCACCCCATCTTCCAACGCCCACCCCTTAATCTTGCATATCCTACGCACAATATCTTCAAGCCTTATATCCATTTGCTCGCCTGCAGTATGCAAATCGCTCTCGACAAGCAACATATGATCTGGCACCGTCTTGACCACGTCCACGAAACTTTGTGGCGTCTCCTCATCCATCTTATCGGAGAGATTAATCGCAGTACTGAAACTAGCAAAGATTTGCGCAGGGATGGCGGGGTTGAGGTATTGTTTGAAATTGGAGACGTTGCCCGAGTAAGAATGGAGACAGATTCGTGGGGGGTAAGGTTTTGCTTGTCCTTCTGTCCCCATATCACTCGTTCCCTCTGCGTCTGCTTCAATTGCAGCTTCGGCAGCTGGATGGTCTACACCACGTTTCTTACGCTCCCGCTTACTCAGTACCTGCTTCTCATGTCCCTTCCAGAGCTCAGATAGCACTTCCAACACCAGTCCGTGGGCTTGGACTCCGTGCACGCTGACTCCCCGGTTCATTTCCGCTGCGAGTTGGAGTTGCAGTTTGAAAATCTTCTTCTGGTGCGAGGGACTCGCGCGGAAGGGCGTTAGACGGCGTCCTTCGCGCCCGCCGGGAGTCAGGCTACTGTCGCGTTTGCACCAGAGATCGTGATTTCCCGTCCAGGACTCGGGGATGCGGAAGGAGCGGTCTAGTCCGATTTCGCCGACAAGAGCATAGGGGTATTGCTGTAGCTGGTGGCGGGTGTTGGATAAGAATGTGCTAAAGGGAGTGGGGTCGGGGAGGGAGAGGTAGGTTTGGATGTCTTCTTCGCTGGGGTTTTCGCGGGAGGGATGTAGGGCTGTTTTGTAGTGTGCAATTTTGGCTTCTCCGGTGAGATTTCCCTGCTCTTTGAGACTATTATCTGGGTCGATATCTGACGTGAGGTACATTTGGTGTGAAAACCACGGGTGCCAGCCGAAACATGGTACGATGCATTCTTCTCTTGACCATTGGGAGGGATCTGCAGATCTGATGGTGTGCTTATCCGCTGTAGCAGTGACAAGATCTTGGTCTTCGGCTCTTGTTGCCATGACTGTGAGTACTCGCGCTTTCATATCTTGTATTGTTTCGATGCTGGACATGGTATCGGTTGGATGGCAATGCGCATCGTAGACACCCAGGTGCCATGGAAAGTTTTCTTCATTCCCATCGTTCGTCACCATTGTATTCAACATAATATACCTTGTTAAATCTTCCGTTTTTAAAACTGTATCTAATGTTTGGGTTACAGGTTTGAAATGGGGTCTTGAGTATGACGTAGATGTGAGGCTGGTCGGAGAAGCCTTTTTCCGCTTCCCGTCATCAAAGGGCCTTCTACGCTGCGTGGGTCGTTGGGGTATCCATACCAGTCAACGCGGAATTTACTTCCACATAATCCAAAAAAGCAAAACAGGATAGGTATAAAATGTCAATACTCGACATGTCTTGCATTTGGATTACCCAAAAACTATGCTATGTACAACAAAAGGGGATGCTATTTTACATGGCGTCCGCCTTATTCGCTTCATTACAACTAGTCCTTGTCACCCATCTGACAAGGCGTCTCGCATGCCAACAAGACGCAACAAGGAAAAAGAAAAAACAAAAACAAAAATACAGACGCAGACGCATATACCCCATTGCACCTTGTTTCTCCCACCGGACAATTAGGGAAAAAGAAAATGCGATGCAGACTTGTATAGGCCGTGGTTGGTGTGAACTAGCAAAACAAAGCAAAGAAAGGAAACCTCACCAATTGATGGAGAACCCCCAAGAAATCAACGCCATAGCTATGCCAACTTTGTGGATCTCAGGAGTAAAACGACTTAATGGAAGGAGCACGGGAATGCAGGCGGCTAGGAAAACGGAGGGGGTGCGAATACGTGGGAAGCCGTTGCTTGGATGACGAGGCTGATGCATGTAGGAGGGCGTAGTTGGCTTTGGAACTGCGCTTGGGCAAAATAATATTAGTCACCAGCTGAGGACTGTGTCTAGTATGATACAAGGGTGTGAAGGAGTGTGGAGAATATAGAGGCGGTGGCGGTCAAGGCACTACCTTGCTACACGGTGGATCAACCTAGGCAAGCATGTTAGTGATAAAGGGAACGATGATGATGATGGTCAGGCAAGAAGTCATGTACCTTAGGGTGCTAATAGCAAATGTGGCAATCCACGCAATGAGGGCAATGAAGAGCGTGGCCGTCAGGCCCTTTTGTCTCTCACAGATGCTCATTCTGTAAGGGCAAGCATTTTCGCTGCCGGATTCAACGCATGCCCATTTCTCATCAGTGAGGGCCTGAAAAGCTAAACTAAGGTTGGCAGACTCGAAGACGATAAAGGCCAGGTCGAGAAAGATCAACGACATTTTGGCATTGTGTGAACGCAGTCCGAGGGGTTTCGACGTGTACTCGTCGTAGGTGATGTAGAGCGTGTAGATGATTGCTACAATGTCGACAAGGATGGCCATCCATGTTGATGAGTTGTTGCTGCATCCATTGTTGTCGGAGTGACGGTAGATGGAGGCTGCTAGAGAGAGGGCGAGGGTGGAAAAGATGAGCACAAAGGCACGGATCACGGCAGGGACCATGGGATGGTTCATCACGGTGTTGTGGAAACGAACAAGGGCGCGCCTTCTTTTCTCTGATGTAAAGAGCCAGAAGCCCTTGATCTGTTCCTTGGGCGCACTCTCGCCAATGGGCTCCCACTTTTGCTCGAGGTCGGGCATGTTTTCCCTCATCCAATCGTCGTCTACAATCTGGCCGCGTGACGAGATGGGGCGGTCGAGGTTGGAGCCCTGGGTGAACTGTTTCCACTTGGGAGCACTGTCGCTAACGGGGGTACCAAGGGTGACGGGGGCGCCTTCGCGGACATGGTCAAACTTGCGACCCGGGACGTTTGACTTTGGCGTTGGGCAGAAGTTGTGGGTTGCATGGCGGACCGTGGTGGGCGTCCTCGGCAGGAGGAAAGAGGTGGCATCGGCATCGTCCTCGTCTTCGGCAGACTGGACCCAAGGAGGCAGTGAGCGTACAGCACGCTGGCGTTCCCTGTTCTCCGCGCTCGCGGTCAGGCTTCGGTTCGAGGACGCCAGGGTGCGCGGAGTGCTGGAGATGGAGTACGACTGGCTCTTCCGGGCGGGGCCTCCGTCGTGGCTGTCCTTGGAGACGCCCGAGACGGCGCTGATGCGGGACTGGGGGCGCTGGAAAGAGTGCGGGTGCGAGTGCAGCGACGAGGACGAGGGCGGCGGGATGGGCGAGGGCAGCAGCCTGTTTGGTTGTGCTGGGGCGGGCGTCGGAGTGGGAGTGGTGGAGGCAGCCGAGGACGAGGGCGAGGGCGAGGGCGAGGGCGAGGACGAGGTCATGGCCGGGGCGTTGGAAGAGGCATTTGGACTGGAGACGTGGGCGCTCCCCTGGGCGGCAGCCACGTCTGGGCGAAGCAAGGCGGCCGCGTCCGTGAGGCCAACGGGGTCGATGTCATTGTTGTCCGTCTTGGTGGGCTCGCCCATGGGCGTGCTGGTCATGCTTGTCGGAGGATGTGAGGGGCGTCCTCGTCGCACCAGCGGTTCCCTTGAACAAGGCGCCCGTCCCTGATGTCAGATGTTGCGCCCAAGCAAGATTCGAAGGGGGGTGGTTGGAAGCTTGGCGCCAACGCAGCGCGGCTGAGGAGCAGTTAGGTGGGAGCAAAGTAAACAAGACGCGCACACAGCATCATCCGGCAGGGCGGCGGTCTGGCGAGGCGGGCGGGCGCAGCAGACAGCGCAGACAGGTCAGACAGGCCAGGCGGCGCAGGTGCTGTGTGTTGAGCGTTGGAGCGGTGCCATCAAAGTGTGGGTGGTGGAGCGTTGCGAGGTCCGTTCACCCAAAGGCCTAAAGGTTGGCTGCATCTGGGAGATTGCTTGTCGGCCGATCCTCTGCTTGCCACCCACCCGCCTGCAGCCTCGAAAGCGTCCCCATAATTCACTGGCCCTGTACATACACCTCCGACTGGACTTGGTTTTTTTTTCTACCTCTCTCTCTAGTACTACTCGACTCTAGCATGCACTGCCAGCGCCTGCACAGCCTGCTCTGCACAGCCACAGGGCCGCTCTGTCGCCACAATGTGCTGGCTGGGCCGTCGTGGTCGCAGGTTTTAATAACTTGACGTAGGCTCACCTGCATCTGCGCCATTGTGTGCTGACATCCATGCTGCATCCGACTACTTGCATATTTACATACTGACGTAGTAGTCCCATCGGCTTACACGCTACTTCGGCTTACCTAATCCGCCCTCCCTCTGCGCCAATACCACCCACTCCCCGCACCCACCACCAAAACCCCTCTCACGATGCGTCTCTTCCTGCTGCCCATCTCCACCCGTCGCTCCCTCATCTACTGCGAGAAGCTGCACGAAAAGGCCCCAAAGGATCGCTCCCTCTATGACAAAATCACCCTCAAGGCGAGCGAGACGTGGGTGGCTTGGGAAAAGGATCAAAAAGCCGTGTGGGACTGGAAGCGCAAAGTGACCTTTTACGGCAACCAGGCATTGACGCGCATCCCCTACGAAGAATGGGGCCTCAAGACCATTCCCGCCCTCACCGCCAAGCGGAGGCAGGAAATCCTCGACGGCAAGGCAAAATACGAAGTCCTCTTCCCAGGAAAATATCTGCCCCAGGAGAGGGTCCCCAGCCTGCTTGAGAAGCTGGCCAAGGAGAGGCAGCACATGCACCGCACCAAACTCATCTGGAGCGTTGTCATCATGCCCTTCACCGCCCCTTTTATGCTCGTCCCCATCATTCCCAATCTGCCCTTTTTCTACGTCCTCTACAGGGCCTGGTCGCATTGGAAAGCCCTCGGTGGTGCACGACACCTCGAGTTCCTTCTCAAGCACAATCTCCCCAAACCTAATCCGTCATGGACCCTGGATGAACTCTACACCGCCGGACTCATGTACCCCACCCGTGCCCTTTCCCGCGCCGCACCCCGCCCAACCCCGCAACAGGCCCAACAAGTGGCCGCTGTGGTCCACCAGCAGACCAACAATGAGACCGAAGACGTCATGGTTCTGCAGCGCTGGAACGGCAAGCTCATTGCTGAGCAGTTCAATCTGCCAGACATGGAGGTCGAGATTGAGCGCGCAGTCAGCCAGGTAGAAAAGGCAATCAAGTCAAAGGAAGAGCGCATGGAGGAAAAGATCGAGCAGGAAAAGGCTGCTGGCAGCAATGGCACTCGAGCCAAGGATACCCTACCCAAGGAAATTCTTGAAAAGATCCACGACAAGGCCGAAGACGTCGCTGAAAATGCCAAAGTTGGTATGAACAAGGTCCACTAATTTTGAACATGCTTGGACGAAGATGATGTTTAATTACCACGAAACGAGACATGTAACATATCGCGCTGCGCGTTGGGAGGAATTTTGATGTACTATACCACACATAGAAGGATCACCACATCTGTACGAGTAGATGCTCTGCGAAAGAAATACAAAAAAACGGTCGTTACGAGCTTGTGATCCTGGGGTGATGCACCAGTACAGGACTTCAGGCTTACCTACAAGTCTCCATCACAGCTCACTCTTGTCTCCCCGAAGCTGGTCCAATTTCTCCTTCTCCCAAACAGCCGGTCCATCATCCCCATACAGTGGATCCTTCTTTAACCATTCTACACGGCCCACCGCTTCTACTTTACCTTCCTCGCCCTCTTTTCCATAGCACATATCCCAGCTACACCCCTTTGGATAGCTCCCCACCATGGTGAACCCTCCATCTACATCCTCCACTAGCCGATGTCCAACTCCAGCCGGCACAAGCACAGCATCTCCCGCGCTTACTTCGGCTTCTATCTTGCCAGGATTAGATTCTCCTCCGAATAGTAGCCGTGCACGCCCAGAAAAAATACACAGAAACTCATGCGTTGTCGAGTGGTAGTGTGTCGTCGAGTACATTGTGTAGCGCCACTGGGGGGAAAGACCGTTGCGAGGGACATGGGCTTCTAGAGTCGAAGGAGAAGTTGATGGAGGAAAAGCCGAATGGTAGATTATAAGCGGGTGGCCGCGTGGTGTTGTGTTTGGAATTAGGGCATGAGAGGGAATGTAGTGTGCGCTTATGCGCAGGGCAGACAGCGGTGTGAGGTGTAAAGAAGGCATTTTTTGTTCTTGGCTTCTTTTTCGTAAAAAGCTTACTTGGTTTAGTTTTACACCTTTGTACGATCCTCGGAGGTTTTTTATCAGATTAGGAAAGTAATATAGGATTGAGATTGAGGGATGTACCCTGGAGATGATACAAATTCATGATCGCGGAAATACGTCATCGGGCAGGGAATAGAATTGATGGATGGGATGCTTAAGTGCAAATGACTGATTCCCCATCCCTACAAGATTGATTGTAAATCATCCAATTCAAAATACCCAACAATGGCCATTGGCATCTATCCACCTTTGAAAAATGTTTAGCATCTTTGAAATTTGCCACCCGCAGGAGTTGCTCCGTCTGTCACCGAAAACAAGGGTAAAAGCCGTGGCAATAGGATCTCTCAAATTCACAGTCACAGAGTCTTATACGGTGAAACTTCTGACATCGCTATCGACAGCATCTGTCCTATGCTCTACTGATAGTAAAGGTACTTGGACAACATTGTACTGAGCTAGATTGGCCAGCCAACAGCATTTCTCCAAAGACCCTCTCTTGCGACTACCCTGCATATGCACGAGTAGGCGTGAGAGTATCCATTGCCCAAGAGTGGCCCATCAATCTGTCTGGGTATAAAATTTTGGTGGCTATGGGCTGAACGAAGGCGGGTCTCGGTGTACAGCTAGGCTACGTGAGCGGGACCCTTGCGGGCGCCAAGCCTCCCAGCCTAGCTCGGTGCTGCCTGAACAACTCAAGCACGCTGAAGTGACTCTCAAAACGTCGCCGCCTCCTACTCCCTTCTGGCA